TATTTCGCAAACTCGAAAAAGTGTCATTTTTTAAATTTTATATTTCTCAAAAACTATTCGGCCGATTTCGCTCAAATTGTAGATTTATTTTTCTTAATTTAAAATAAGGTCTATTTAATTGGCGTAAAAAAATTTATTTTGATTATTAATAAATTTAATTATTAAAAAATAATAAATAATCACAAAAAAAATTTTTTTTACTTGGAATAAATTAGTACCTATGAATAAAGCAGTTTTAAAACTGTGAAATTTTTTATTATTTTTTTTACTAGCTTCAATACCTCCAAAATTATGTCGAAACACGCAAGGGGCTCAAAATTTCGACCAACAGTAGTTTGTAACTTTCCTCAACTATGGAGATCATATTTTTCATTTCCATATCATATTTCCAGATTACGAAAATTTTGAGTTTCGCAATTCCAAATCCGTCGTAAGAAAAAGTATGTTAATTCAAAGAAAAAACGTTTTCGCGTATGATTTCGTATCATCTGCACAAATGAATTAACATGTTTAAGGCTGCCTTTGAACTATTAAGACTGAGTCTTTATACGTGAAAATCCAATCATTAGATCAAAAGTAGTTATTTAGGGTATTAGCTTTTATTTTTTATTTATTTATTTTGCGCACTGTGTACTTGCAAATTTCGAAATTTGTTGGGTATGCGTAAAATAGTGATGCTTATAGCAATTATTTTGAACATTCTCCATATGAAATTATCAACCTACCAGATCAGATTTTAGAATTGAACTACCTTTGAAACTTGTGTCGAAATAAATATTACAATTTATTTATTCAAAAAGCATTTTTTATATTATTTTATAACAGTCGTTGAACAGCCCACCCAAATTTCGGGTTTACGACTACTAATGTTCAACTCCGCAGTTTTGTAATTTTGAACCCAATCCTGAAGAAAAGGGAACTCTTGGATCAAGTATTAGGAGAAATTTTGCCTTTGTGGAGAACTTTTTGATGGAACTAACCTGCATTTGCGTTACATAGAGAGGAGGACCACTAGAACCGCCCACTATTAACCTGACAACAAAGAGACTCTAACCCATGATCCGTCTACCACTGAGGATATTTCACGTCAGCACTGTGGTCGGTGCAAGCCGGATGTGGACTCGTATCGACCAGCCATCGGCGGGATTCGAACCCGGTTCGGCTCATTGGAAGGCGAAAGCTCTATCCCCTGAGTCATCACGACTCTTCAAAAAGCATTGGATAGAATAAGTACCGAGCTCAAACGAGGACCATTTTGAGAAGCATGAAAACGAAGACAATTACGATTTTTTTTATGTTTTAATGCCTCTAAAAATATGCAAAGTGCTTCGCAAAGACAGTACAGAATACGTATTTTCAGAAACAGCCCTAAATTGAAGAAAAAAAGCCACATATTAGCTGTCCAAAATTAATCATAATATCGAAAACATCAGGACCTGTTTAATTGTTGGCGAAAACAGAAAAGTTAAAAGACGATTATTGAAAACATCTTAAAAATCCAATCGATAACCGTTCAGGTTTCGATGTTTTGTGCATTCTCCTTATTCCACGTGATTTTGTTTTCCTTCTTTAAATATTAGTTTCCAGCTCCAGTGTTCGTGCTTTTTTTTTGTATTCATTTTGAGAAGGATATTAAGGGTGGTCATTACTGAACAACCAGTGAAAGACATTTTTTAAGTCTAATCTTAATTTTCAATTTATTATGAAAGTTTTGTTCTTAATAATGAGATTACACAACTGTACTGAACTATATCATATGATGAAATTCGAAAACAGAAGAAACTCGTTCGTTTATATTAAACTGGTTAGTTACACTGAGATTACTTCAAAATGTTGTGCTACCATTCCCCAAATGAAACGTTACTTCATATTTTCGAAATGCAGTAAAAATCAATTTGAAGAAAAAATAACAGATTACTTATAAAAATCAAATATTGTTATCAGAACAAATGAGGTCAATTCCTCATAGCAAAGAATTATGTAATACGTTTCCTTTTCACCCCAATAAAAACTTTTTCTCAAATTTTCAAGAAAGCTTTATCGATAAAATTATTTTATTTATTTCGTATTTATTTATTGTTATTTATTATTTGTTCCTCTTTTTATTTATTTATTTTTATTGATAGATTCCTAATATTTTCTTTATGAGATTTACTACTTTAGAGTTAAAAACAAATTTGTGTTTAAAGTTTTTTTTTATCCTTCTTCTTTCGTGCGAAAAAATGTACACTCATATAAGTGAAAAATAAAAATAATAGGTGTTTATTATTTTTTATGTAAACAAAGCAGTTAACCTTTTGTTTACGGTTGGTACAACATGTGGACCGCAATGGGTTAATTTAACTTTTTGCTTACTGTGCTTAGTATGAGGAAGCCATTCTGGTCCACTCAATGTACCAGCCATGAGCAAAAGGTTAAAAAAAATAATTGAATTAAAAACAATCAAGTTAAAAGACTTATGGGATGTTTCTCTGCTAAAAATTAAGAATTTATCTAGGCTAATGCTTGGGTTTATTTCATTAAAAAAAAAAGCGAATTAACCATTAATTTTATTGTATTTTCATTTGTTAAAATTTAGAAGACAAAAATGAGTTTATTAGAAAATATTAGCAATCAGAACAAATAAAATTACTCTTGACAGTACCAATAACCTGAAGTACTGGACCGGTATAGCTTGGTCGGTAGGGCGCTGGGCCCATGTCCAAGAGTTCGTGGGTTCGAACCCCGCCGGCCGAAGACTCCCCGTGTACTAAAGTGACTGATGCATGCTAAATCTGTGGAGTCGCAAAAGTCCTCCATGTTCCCATAACAAATCAATACCTCTGGGGGTACTGGATTGGAGATCGATCGTTCTCAGATTCAGGTCAAAATTCCGATCTGTGGATGAATGAATGGATGTATGAATGAGTCCGCCCTATAAACGGGTGCGACGTATGGTGTGGCAGAAGTCGAATTNGGGTACTGGATTGGAGATCGATCGTTCTCAGATTCAGGTCAAAATTCCGATCTGTGGATGAATGAATGGATGTATGAACGAGTCAGCCCTATAAACTGGTGCGACGTATGGTGTGGCAGAAGTCGAATTCTTGGCCATAGATGGCGCCACTGAAAAACAAGAACAATCGAACCCCTTCTGCCTAAACAGGCATACGCCAACAACAACAATCCGAAGTACTTGGATGAGTAGTTGTACAAAAGACTGAATGGATCAAGTTGTGAAGAAGCCTGAGGATGATGCGTAACCCAGGGCTGTATTCATTACAAATTAGCTGAAATCGACCATACATTCCATTATAATGCAGCTATTCAAGTTCCATTAAGTGAGTTTTACAGAAATATTGAGAAAAAAGCAGCTGTTTAAAATTTTTAAGTTATTATTTTTTTAAATAATAATGAAAATCTTTGCTACTCTGAAAATCTTTGGTGGAATTTTTATTTTAGTTACACTGATTGTCGAGTTTTTATACTGTCAAAAAAAAAATGAAATTGCAAATATTAAATCCTTTTTTTCAGTGAAATGCTATTTTTAATATATTATATTTCTGTCGTTCTTAATTTTCTTTTGTTCTTCTGCATTAATTTTTTTAATTGATTTCTCAAATTGTTATTATTTAATTTCTATTAATAATAGTATTTTTTTAAATTTTATAAACAGCTTAATTTCAGCCCCTATTGTTAGTATACCAACAATTTCAATATTATGGGTATGACGGAATTAAATTTTTGAATAAGTCTTCTCGAAGATTTAAAATACACATTCAAAAATATTTGTAAAGTATTCTCCTTTGTTCATATTTGGAAAGAAAAAAAACTCTCTAATAAAAAGAAAATTTAATGAGTTGGTTTTAAAAAATTTATTAGGTTAAAGAAGCGAAAATTAACCAGATTTATAAGACAATATTTGTGGAAAAAAATATTTACACTGAGAATTGAAACTGAAATATAGATTATAATAAATACAAAAAAAGAATAAAAAGCTGCCTCACAACACCTAGTGTCTTTCAAAAATAAAGAATTTATGTAGGAATTACATGTTGTTTAAAAAGGTGTTGCACGTTGAAAATAAATTTGGTATTCAAAGCTTCTTACCAAATTTGTAGTATTTTTGCAATCGCTGAACTCATGGAAACGTGGTTTGTTTCATAGGTGATTGCTTGCAAATAGCTAGTGATCTAAAGCATAAAAGTGATCTAAAGCAGAAGATGATGCAAAATAAAATTAACTAAATTAATGAGAAAACTGTGAAAATTTCGTTAAGAATTAATTAAATTGAATATGACTAGAATTCAATTTTTTATATTTATTTCGCAAAATTTATATGCATACAATAGAAAGCATTTTAATAATTTTTTTAAGAAAACTACAAAAGCCAGTCTCTTTCAAATGTCTAATTGCATCTCCATTTCTATATACAATTTTGTTAATTGCAATGTTATAATATTTCCTTCAAACATACGAATTTTCGCTCGTTTTTTATTAAATATCTATTCCTTTCTACGTACACCTATCTTTTCATAATATCTTTTAACCAGAACAGTTACACAATACAGAAAATCATGAAAAAAATTGTGTAATATCTAACGAATGAAGTTAATTTTTCACGTGTGTCATTCAGTCAGTTTTTTTACGTAACATCAATACGTTTCTAGAAGTAGACACATCTAACATAAGTTCTAATTTTTATTAATTTAATCTTTAGTGGTGCAAAAAAAAAGGAGAAAAATAATATTATTTAGTCTGTTATAATTTTTAAATGGTGTAAAATTCGAAGATAATCTATTCTAGACGTTAGCACTTACTGAAATTTTGATTCATATCCTTGAAATTTTCGTAGCTTTTGTAGTGGACTACGGCATCTAGCGTTAAATACATGAACTATTTTTTTTTAAAGACTGTGCATTGAACGGAAATGCGTTAACGCGTTGTTGGAATTGCGCCATAGATCTAAGCTAGAAGTTTAGCCTCATATTTAAAAATTTTTTCTTTTACGGTTTAGCCGTTAGAGACCAGAGACAACTAATCTTTTACTACCGTAACAAAAGTATTTTTTGTACTTTTCAGTAGTTGATGAATTTTTAAGTTTTTTTTTATTAATAAATTCTATTTGTAATTTATATACCTTGTTTTTTTAATTCTTTTTTTTATAAACTTTTATCTACCAATTACAGAAATGGGAGTTGAGATTGAAACGATTAAACCGGGTGATGGTAAGTTTAATGTTTGTAAATAATCCATTTATCGATAATGTTAATAATAAAATATGTTACCTTTTAAAATTTGCATCGAAATTTATATTTGTTTTATTATGTTATTTATCTTATAAATTGTCAAAAGTTTATGTCTGAAGGACTAAGTTTTTGACATTCTTTAAATTAGATCCACACCCATTCGCTTGCTCTTCGCGATTCACTTATTTATCGATTTTTGCATAAACCTATTACAAATATGATTGATATTAAATTTTTTTTTCTAAACTGCCAGCTCAAACCAAAAAAAAACTTATAAAAGGATTATAAATTTTATATTATAAATAAATTGCATTTGTTTATATTTTCTTGAGCTTCGTTTGATCCTTTCGAATGTGGACATTTTGTTTTCTTACATTTTAAAAAGCTTCTTATGTAACTTCATTGCTCTAGTTAAGGCGGTTATCTTAATTTTGATACCTTAAAGGACGAATGTTTCTAAACTCTTAATTCAAACCACAAAATAGGAAGCTCATAAAGTTTTTTTTTTTTGGATTTTAATTAAATTGTATTTGTTTATATTTATTTGGGCCTAGTTTTATTTTTTCGAATGTGAACATTTTGTTTTCTTGCATTTAAAAATTTTTTTTCATAACTTCATCCTTCCATAAGCAGTTATATTTATATCACTTACAGCAGTTATCTTTATATGGATGCTAATAAGGGCAAATGTTAAGAAAATTTAGTCACTGGTCCAAAGGTTATGTGACTAAAAAATGTCTCTAGTCTGTGCCTATTTTCACATGTCTGTTATATTTTGAAGGAAAAAAAAACAAATACAGGAAAAAAACAAGAATTTATGAAACAAAAAATTTAAATTGCAATCTTTAAACTTTTATAAATTAGTAAAGAAAGCAAATGGCACTTTATATAAATCAAAACTTTATTTTGTTATTATTGAGAAATGAAAAAAAAAGTTTAATTACTTTAACAAATTGAGTGTTATTATTAAAAGATATTGTTGAGACAAGTAATTTTCACGTATATGATGAAGTATGTAATTTTGTAAAAGATACACTGATTAAAACATCAATCTGGAAACTGAAAAACAAATCACTACCTATTATCACTTTTCGCATGATTAATTACATTTTATTCTTTCCTTTGAATCATTGATATTATTTGCTTGATGAGCACACACTCCTCATTCATTAAACAAAATATGATCAGATTTACTATTAATTCCAAGCTGTACCTAGTCAAAATTACAAGTATAAAATGACTTATATTTTTTAGGAATTATTTTAAATTTGATTGATTTTAGACTTTAAGAAACTAATATTTGTACCAATTTTATTTCAGGTCAAACATTCCCCAAAACAGGACAAACTGTTGTTGTACATTATACTGGTAATGTTCTATTTCTGCTTTCTCTAACTTAATTAATTATACTCCACAATTATAATCATGTTTTCTAGTGTTTGTTGTGTTAAATATTTATTTTCATTAAAAATTATGTCCAATTGGTATTTATTTATTGAATATTGTTAAGGGTATTTTTCAAAGCTCTTGTTTATTAAGGAAATTAAAAAACCTATAGTTTAGGTGCCTTTTACATGAAGCAAAGTTATAATTTTAAACTGTGTATATTATTAACTGACAACTAATACTATAGTTATACTATTAACTGAAAGTGTTTTAAATTTTATTAAGCTCTTTGATTATTATACATGCCAGTATAATTTTTCTTAAAAATGAAGCAGTTTTTTTTTTTTTTTTTGAAGTTAAAAGTACTTACTGGCTAACCAAATTTGCTATTAATGCATCTGAATGTTCTGAAATTATTTTAAGGATTAAACAGGGGAATTCTGACTTTTCCTTTCCTTTTATTTCAAGAAAATAGTGGATAATATAAATTTTTTTTTATCATGTGCATATCTGCTAACAGTCATGAATAACTGTTATAAAGAGGGATGTAACAAATATTCGGCCACTATTCTGTATTTGTCCATTCAGCCCTTTTGCCGAATGTTTGACAAAGTATTATTTGGAAACTTAAATTTTGACAAAGTTTTTTTTCTCTGAAATTTGAAGAAATTTAATAAGGAATATTAAAGGCATTTTTTACTATACATTGTTAGAAATTGTTTTTACACATATTTGTTAAACACTAAATCTTGTTAATTTATTATCTAAAAGGCAAATGGAAAAGCAAAATTTGAAGAATTGAAACTAGGTTACTTTATACTAGACCATGAATTTTGTAATGCTGATTTTTTTAAAAATTATATTAATTCAAGCAGTGTTTTCATCATAGAAAAAAAAATGGGTGAGAATTTCTCACCCTTTCTCAAAAACAGGGTNGCTCTTTTCTAACTTCCTATTGGAAGGTGGGGTTGAATGGTTGACCTTGAACAAGCACGCATATGTTAAGTCCTCTTAACATATTACTTCAACAAATTAATGCACATCAAAAAATTAATGTCTTCGTCTAATGAAGCCTCGCTTATGTTCCTCGGTTTACTCTTCTTTATAATACTACAAATTATGAACATAAAAAAAAATTCGTTATATATACCGCAAATTATGTACATCAAAAAATTAATTCATTAGAAACTAGATTTTTTTTTGTCATACTATGTTTTTTAATCTGTACTTTAAAGTAAAATTCTTAATTGTTAACAGTTGTAATTCAATTGTTAAAATATCATTATGTTTTATTAATGTATGCATCCTATCCTTTTTTGGTTTATAACGTGTGTACCACAAATAGTATATGCATGCCTTATGACGTTTAAAACCATTATGTGACCGATTTTCAAAGGAAATTTGCTCATTTTGATATAGCGACCATTTGATATAACGACCAGATTGGGGCAGTCCCGATGGGGTCGTTATAACGCGAGTCAACTGTACATTGTTAGAAATTGTTTTTACACATATTTGTTAAACTCTAAATCTTGTTAATTTATTATCTAAAAGGCAAATGGAAAAGCGAAATTTGAAGAATTGAAACTAGGTTACTTTATACTAGACCATGAATTTTGTAGTGCTGATTTTTTTTAAAAATTATATTAATTCAAGTCAATTTCCTAGTTTTTTCATCACTTTATGTCTTGAAAATTGAGAACTCTTTTTTTATTTGTTTCCTTTTTGCTTCTTTTTCTTTAATCACTATAATGCATCATTTTAACGGAGCGTTTCTTATACTTTCTTCTTTTACTGTCACTTATTTCCTATATGGTAAGATAAGTAACAGGCAACCTAGAAAACTGATTCTCCATGTTTATGTTATATTTCAGAACTAGGGGGAAAATGTTTCTCTTTAGCTTTTTTCGTTAACTCTTCTTTTTATCAGTATTTTATTGCAGATTATTTAAAGAGCCTATCGAATGAACGCTATTCTTTTATGGCCACTTTTTTCCTTAAAATACGGCAATGTGAAAAATTAAATTGAGATTTTAACGTTACATCTTTCATTCAAAACTTAAGAATGACTTTTGTTTTAGTTTTAGCTTTTTCAAAATATTTTTTTTTGCACGCGTTTATTAGACTTTAAACTTCAATTTAAACCATTGGAAAACTGAGATGTTTATGTTTAAAATTGTCTTTCAAAAATTAAGATCGATTTTTATTTTTCTATTTTGCTTTTGTATATAATCTGTTTTTTTTTTTATGTGCGTTTTTATAACAGTGCTAATGGGCGTTTTCATAATTTTAAAAGCATTTCTGTTAGTTATTATCTCTTTTAACGTTTTATGAATAATTTTTTTTCCAAAAAATATTATTTTTAGCACTAAATTTTTGTTTTAAGAACTAAGACTTTTTTTTTCTTTCTATTTCTTGTTTATAGAAATGGAGTTTTTTTTCTTTTTCAATAGCTGTTGGTCATTTTTTTTTAAAATTTATCTTAAATATTTTTAATAATCTTTTTCATTTTGAACACTTTTATTCAAGTTTTTTTCCTCTTTGCCCCTAATAATACGGCTAAGTTTTGATTATTTTTCAATAGCTACTGAACTTATTTATATAAAAAATATTTATTTATGATTTCGTTTTTAAAAAAACGAAATGTTGCTATTCGGTATTCGGCGCATATTTTTAGCGGAATATTCAGCCAAATCATTATTTGTTACACTCCTAACTATAAGAATAGCTTATTATTTAAACAAAGAATGTGTTAACGCTAAAATGTTTTCGTGTAAACTCAGTGCCTATGACTAATATTATCATTAACTAGAAAGATCATGATGAATTTCTAAAGGGCTCTGTCCCTAAACTATTTCAAATTCTTCTTCTTGTTATTAAGTCAATAATTTTATAATTTAGGGCTGCCTATGATTTGAAATTAAAGATGATCATTTATTTGTTGATAGGTGTTACCTGATCTGCTTGTGAGAAGTTGTGTTAATGGACTTATTTCTAGTGCTTTCTTATATCTCTTTGTTTTATCAATTTTTGTCACATTTAGGCTTTGTGTTTAATAAAAAACTCGTGCAGTTTTTTAAAATTTTTTTATTCATTATATTCCTTATATCAGTGTTTCCCAAAGTGTGGTACGCGTACCCCCAGGGGTATATGAGCAGTTTAGTGGGGGTACGCGTTCTTATGCGAAATATCTATTAACTTTTATTTAAAAACAAAGTAAGCCATGAAAATTTACGATTACGCATTTTTCTATTGGCTATTTTTTGCAGAGTTAACAGTTAATAATTAGTGGTGTCAGCAGCCAGTTGTGATTTTTAACTTTTGTGCAATTTTTTTATTGTGAAAAATACATTAAATTTTTTACAAGTTGTACACACAGCGTTACGAAAAATTTTGAAGGGGTACACAAAAGTTATAAGTTTGGGAAACACTGCCTTATATGTTAAGTTTTTAAAAAAAATATCCCAATTAAATTTTTTATGTCTGTTTTTTGTATTTTTTTTTTTTGTACTTTGAAGTTTTATTTTATGTTCTGTATTGTTTTAGGTACATTAGCTGACGGGTCAAAATTTGACTCTTCTCGAGATAGAGGTAAACCCTTCAAATTTAGAATAGGTAAAGGAGAAGTCATTAAAGGCTGGGATAATGGTGTAGCTCAAGTAATTTATGTTATGTTACTTATCAGATTCTTCTATTCTTTCCTTTTTTTCACTACTATATGCAACAATTAAATTTTTTTTAGATGAGTGTAGGACAGCGTGCAAAATTGATTTGCTCACCTGATTTTGCTTATGGCTCACTAGGACATCCTGGAATATATCCTTTTATTTTTAAACAGTTCTCATTTCTAATTTTTGAAAACAAATTTTTACTTTTTGTCAGATTCTTGAAAGCATGTGGGTGTGTTAATACAAATCTGGGAGTTAAGTTTTTATTTTATTTTAGAGCTCATGATAGCAAGTTTCACATTGCCTGAAGTCTTATTAAATGTTTTTATTATAGACTTGTGAATATATATTATTATTCGATTTTATCTTATCTGTTAATGTTATACTCTTATTTTTGATCTTGTGTTTTAATTTATTGATTTTGAGCTTTTAAGGGTTACTGGTGAGAAATATAGGTCTCTTTATTAAATTATTTATGAATTTAATTATTTAATCAATTGCTAATTGCATTTTTGTTTTTTTAATCTTAGAATATTTACTTTTAAATTATCTTAAAAAATTTTCAATGTAGACTCACTTTAAGGAGAAATGTACTAAAAATTTTGGAAGTAAACTGTAATTTGCTAAGTCTTGTGGCAATTCTGTTTATTTATCATTAACTTAGAGTGGCAGTTAACTGTGTAAGTTATTCTGGTTAATTGCTAAAATTGGAATATTTCCTCTAGTGTCTGATTTTCCACTTTTTATTGTTTCTCTCTTTTTCTATTTTTTCTCAAATTTTTTTCTTTTATTTTTGTTATTTTTTATTAAATTATGAGAATATTCAGAAATAGCAACACTGCTTAGTTTTTTCCAACAACTACAACTTTTTAAAATGTTTACAATGTAATAATTATAAATGTAATAATGCAATAGCTATCCTTTTCAATGGGGCTATTCACTAATTAATTACTATTTGGAATTTCTCTTTTTTACTTATATGATTATACATGATGTAGTATCAAAACTTTACTCATAGCCTAAGAAATGTTGCTAATCAATATCCATTATTTCTCCAATGTTCACAGGTATGTTTTTTTTTTTTTTTNTTTTGGTCATTACATGCCTGATAAAACTTTTGAGTATCTTTCAAAATTATTAAATTTTATAAAAAAAAAAAAATTCCTAGATAATTTTTTTTGCTTCATTTTTATGTTAATTTATTAAATGTGTCTTTTTTACCTAGAAAGACGAATACGGCAATTTAGCCCATTTAATTTGTTTTTTGTTGCTCCGTAATTTTAACAATAACTTACTGAAAGTATGGAATATTTCTAACTTTTCATAATTTGATTCAGTTTACCTCCTCATTTAATCATTTAAATCTTAGCCTTATAGAAATGTGCTTATACTTAAAATGACTGAAGGTTCTAAAGTGGCAGCTAGGTATTTTGGTAGATATCCTATTACCCCAGGTACTTTTGGATCTGAGATACCCTTTGGTATATTATATGAGGTGCTCCAGTTTCATTAATAAAAGCAAGAGTTATTTTAAAGCTATCTCTATTATTTATAACGAAAAGTCAATTATATAAGAAACTAATGTGCATGTATAATTGTCTAGCCAGTGTTCCGTTTAATCATATATTTTCATTAACCAAATCTAATAAAATACTATAGAATTTCAAATCGGTTATGTTTTTATGAAATTAGTTCTGATTTTATTTTAAGATTCTGGGTATCTAGTTAAATCTTCACACAAACAAACTGGAAGGGCCAAACTGGTCCTTTCTGTCTTATCTATTTATAGACCAATGTTAAGTCTTTATAGTATTTGTCTTACAATAAAAACTGCTATTGTGTTTCTTGAGCTATGGAAATTTGCGGGAGCTAAAAATGTGTCCATGAGGCAGTATTTTTAACTTTATTTCATGGTTTTTTTCCCCCTTTAAGATAAGAGTTTTTATGAGTAACTTATGAAATGTGTTTGTAGATACTGAGAGGAGGTTGGAGGTTTTATTTTAACATTGGAATTAATATTTGAAATCTGTATTACATGAAACAAGATATTATGAAATTTTACACTTAACTCAAGCTTACTATTCCACCGAATGCCACTTTAACATTTGATGTAGAGCTTCTGAAACTGGAGTGAATGATGATCATGTTATTCTCATTTGTGCATGGATTTAGAAGTGCACACCAATATCCTAAACAAGTTTTATTTCCATTTCATTTGTTTGCTTATTGTTTGGATAAGAAAAATTCTTATGTTTCTGCATTTTTAAATCAATGTATGCTTTTATTTCTATTTTTAACATTAAGGTCATTTCATAAGTTATTAATATTTTTTTTTTCTCTTTTAAATGAGAGATAATTTTGTATTGTTTTGTATTTTGTTTTATTTACAGTATTTCACCTAACAAATCTTGGCTGATTTATATCTTGATGATACCATGTTTCATTTGAAATTTTATCTGGAAAATAAGATATTTTTGGTTGTATAATCCCATATAAAAATTTAATGTTTGTGCTATCATTATAAAAGCAACCTATTTATAAATTAAAGTTTTTAAATTAAATGTTTCAAATTTTGTGATTTCTTGATGTGTAGATATTAGTTTATTCTTAAAAGTATGCTTAAATTTTGCTTAATATCTTTGTGCATTCGTTTTCTTGTAGTAGCACCTAATCTTAAAGCATTGCATTTAAAACTATGTAGGTTTTGTTTTATTTTTACTATTAAATATATTAAATTAATTTAACAGTGCATTTGTTTTGCCTTCTATTTTTCTTTTCCATAAATATCTTGTGATGGTTAAATTGGGTGTGCTTATTTCTAAGTATGGTAAAAGTGGTATGTAGACACTTGTTAAAAGTAGGGTTTCTGTCGAATCAATATTTTCTCTTTTATTGGAACTTTGAAGATTATTTTTAGTTTTACCTATGCTTCTACCAAGTGTTAATCATTAGTTCTAAGTATATTTATTAATCATAAATTATTAAAAAAAAATTTTTTTTTGATGCTTGTAATTAGAAAAATTAAAATGCTTTTCCTTGTAGCTAATATTTTATGTAGTCCTTGTTATAGTGTTTTTCTGGGATGCTAACCTCTACAGATTTTACAAGTTAAATTACATAGCTAATAATGAACTTCTTTGAATAATTTGTATTTGAATAATTATTTTAAAAGGTGTGGGATATTTTGTAAGTTGAGTGTTTAAAATAAACAGGAACTGTCGGAAAAGGATTAAAAGATTATAAATAGATTTGGGATAAAGAAATTGTTGATTAAGTAAAGTTATCTGGTTGGCATCCCTATATTGTATGCTATTTGTTTCGTTATAACTAATTAGTGTGTTCTAGACATCTGCTAAGTACAATAAGATATTCCTCGAATCTTATGATTTATGTGACATGTGATAAATTTTCGAAACAAAATAAAAGTGAGGTGAATTTATTTGTGTATTCATATCGTGGTCTTGTGATTAGTAAATCTGAATAGGTATAGATAATTATGTAATTCCATTACCTGCAGTAAGTAAAAAAATAAAATCTCTGAAGTATTTTCTGCCAAACATCAAGGATATATGCAATTTTTAATTTAAAATGCAACTGATTATTCTAATCTTGCACTATGAGGCCTTTTTCGCCTGCATCAAAACAGTAAACTTTTTATGTATTTAATTGGTCTGTTGTCAGTGAATTGTAGAATTGATATATTCATGCCTATACATATGAAATGTTTTTGTCTGTGCATTTTGTCAGATGCTATGTACCCATTTTTATGAATATAAATAAAAAAAAATGTCCCTCTGCATTTCTATTTTTTTTCTTCATTTGTTGTATTATTAATTTTATATCAAGAAAAATAATTTAACCTCCTGGCTAGTTATGTTTTATTCCAGATTTCTGACTGAATTAAAACTCCTGATTTACTGTAAACCATGTTGTGAATTATTGAGGTTGTAAAAAAAAAGGCTAGAGCAGAAGTAAAGTTAGCATTTTTTCCTTACTCATTCTGAACATAACAAGAAAAGTAGAGGATTTGTCAAGATCAAAACTAAAGACAGGCTAATATTTCATTCATCACAAAGCAGTTTGGTATAAAATATTTTTTTCTATTCTTTAAAATAGTAATCTTAATGTGTCCTAGAAATCTGCAACAATGCTTTGTGGTTTAATAATTTTACATTTTCAATAGTTAAAAAAAAATTAATGAAAATATTTGCATGTCCAATATATTTGCTTATGTGGTATGAGATTTTTCCTTACCATTCTGTTTAATTAAATACAGTCAGGTGTTATGTTTGTGAAAAAGAGAGGCATTTTTAATTAGGATACCATAATAAAAAATAGATATTTTACACTTAGCATTGATTTGTCTTATTTTATTAGCTTTGCTATAAAAAATCTTACAACGCTTTAATTATTTAAATTCTCTTTAAAAATCAAGGCAAATGATGTTATTTATTGTGTGTGGTTAAATTTTTTTTTTATAAAACTGTCAATTTTAAGACAACTAATACATTTCTTGTTGGATTTTCTTTTGATGCTATTGTTTAGGTACTGGTACTCATCGTTTATAGCCTACAAAGACTGTTAGTAACTGCTTTTACTAGTTGCCACAAACTCAGACCTGTGTATATATGTATATCGCTGATTCAATGCTTCCATTTAAAAGCCTTCGTTCTTAAAACCAGGTTGAGTTGAAGCATTGGCCTTTGTCGTAGAACCAGGTTGAGTTGAAGCATTGGCTATCCAAAATTTTACCGTTGTCCTCATAATTTTTTTCATGGCTCATTTACAATTTTTTGAGTACATATTGTTATATGTTATTAGTTATTTTATTAACATGTGTACATGGGAATACTACTTTGAAAATTATGTTAAAAAGGTAAAATTTAAAGTAAAGCGAAATTTAAGGTAAATAAATATTTGATCAATCCTTAGAAAGTATTTACACAATCTTCTCACCATATCCCAGTAGAGGAGGAAATGTATTGTTTCTTGTTCACCTTGATTCTTGAAAATTTATTTCTTAGAAATAAAAAAAATAAACAAACAATTCTTTCTTTAAACAGTATAAATATTCGGAAATTTCATAAAAAGAAATAGCTCAAAACCAGTTATTTTTTAATGAAATCCAGTTGGCAATTTTAAAGTGCTATTGCACCCATTGACATCAGGGTTTTCGACCCACCCAATAAAGCCCAGGCTCAATTTTTTTTTTTATAAACATAATTAAAATAGATTAATAAAGACTAAGATAAATAGATTTAGGGGTTTCATATTTATCTTAAATATGTCGATTTTGGAATTTTCAAATCAAAACTTAACTATAAATGCATAGTTTAAAGTAATTCCTAAATCTACTAAAAAAATTGTTAAATGAACAGTAGTTCTGTTGTTAGTTGGCCTGCAAGAGGCTTACTTTATAACTAAAAAATGAAGCTATAGCTTATAAATAAGTAAAACAGAAAACTGTATATTTCTTTAATCCCAATATTATGATTTTATTTTTGCTCAAGGAAGGAAGGAATTAATTTAAGAATCTTTTATTAATACATACATTAAAATTAAAACTTTTTTTTATTTTAATTCATAACTTAATTATTATTTTCGTATATGTTTTCTTTTTATTAAAATTCTCTGTTAAATTAAAAATTAAATCTGAAAAGTGTTAAACTAGGTAATATCTAAACCCAAAGAAGCTGAATAAAACCCAACCGGGTTGTTGTTTTTTTTTTTNGGTTGGGATTTTTTTTTTTTTTTTTTAAAGAAAAACTTTTTTTAGACTGATTGACATTGAAGTTCTAAGAGCTAAGTCTATAAGCTTGGTAAGAGTTAGCCAGAAGCGAATAGGCCCGTAGCCCCAGCCCCTGAATTCTTTAGGGCTTTACAAGGGATCTCTATATCTTAAGAAAATAAAATTGTTCTATGAAATTTAATAAAAAGTAATTATTGATGTTTCCAAGTGTAGTGATTTGAATTTTATATTTAGAATTATTAAAAACATATTAAGTATTTTGAGAGCAAAAAATAGAAGGAAAAAAAAAATTTGTTATGTTGTTTCCTTCAATACCACTCACCAAACTCCTTAATTTTATATTTTGCCTCAAGCCACGAATGAACTATTTATAAAACTCTTAAATTTTCCTGGTTTATTATTACAAGTTTGGGAAAAACAGAAAATTACAATTCGTTTTTTTAAATTAGTTCTTACTGCTTACTTAACGTATAACTACCTAATATTATATATTAACATGATACATACATCTAGTACTTAATATTTCATACAGAATGTTATTGATGACGTAGACAACTAATAATTACTTTAGTAAAAAATTAAAAATTTCAAAAAATCTTTTTTTTCTTTTTCGAATTTTTACTTAATTGGAATTACAATTCATAGAAAGTTTCAATATACCTGAATGTTGGGAAATTTTGGTATTGGTAGAGTCCCAAGTTACACCATGTCTTAATCCAGCGTTTCCCAAACTCGTGACTTTTGTGTACCCTTTCTAAATTTTTTGTAACGTTGTGTACCATTAATAAAAAAATTGCACAAAAGTTTAAAATCACAACTGGCTGTTGACAACACTAATTATTAACTGTTAATTTTGAAAACAATAGCCAATAAAAAAAAATACGTAATCGTAAAATTTCATGACTAGCTTTGTTTTTAAATAAAATTTTTTGAAATTTTCGTTTGTTGCAAGCGATTCCGCATAAGAAAGCGTACCCCCACTAAACTGTTCCCATACCCCTGGGGGTACGCGTACCCCACTTTGGGAAGCACTGTTTTAATCCAACCCTGGAGTTAAAACGAATTGGGCAGGCTTCACTTCTACCATTTAAGATTGTCCCGTATACACAATCCCGTAATATATACAGATCGGTGATGTATGTGGCATATTTCTATACAAATTTCCTTTATAGAATCAATCTAACCTGCAAAGTTTGACACGAGGATCTATGGTTTTTATCAAACTAAAAGAAAAGACATTTGTAATAATGAAATTTAAATATTTGCATTCTAAAAATCTAAAAAAAGGTGTGCTGTGATCACCAAATCTTTCAAAATTATTACATTTAATAAATTTTTTTAATGTGTGATTTTTTAATAGTTTACAAATTTTTTCGTGTGAAGTATTAGCACTAGTATTTTTTCTAAATCTCCCAAAGTTGCGATCTAGTTCAGCTTTGCTTAAGGGAAACAAAATGGATTAAACTTTTTAGTCACATTATGACCATTCAACATCATGACTAAATTAGACTCACGCGAAAGATGTAGATCTCTGAAAACAAGTAGACCTAGAGTTTTAGAAGAATTTCACCAAAATCTCATATTCATGAAACCGATTTCTAATGTTTCATGACAAAAATTTATTTTTTCAAACGATATTTGTTTTCCTTACCCATTCAAACGATATTGATTATTCTTTTTATTTATTTTTTACATTACTAAGATGACGCTGAAAGTAAGTTTATACGTAGAGTATTTTAAAAGAAAGATATATTGATCAGATAATTTAGTTACATTCGTTATGTTAGTTATATTTAGTCGTTTTTTAAAACATTACAGAAATTAAGTTATCTGTAATTATTATTATTTATTGCTAGACAAGTTTTTGAAAAAATTTCTTGTTAGTAATTTTACGTTGATTATACTTTTTTAAGTACAGAAGTGCTTATTTTTTTCTATAGTAAAATGGAATAAAAGAAACTTCCTTTTTTAGAATTGATTTTATTTAATATTGAAAAGTCGTTTATTTAAAAAAAATTTTTTTTTTTTTTGTTATGAGTTATTCGACCGATTTTGTTCAAATCAAGTAATAGTTGGAATCGAATATTTTTGAAAAATCTAATATATTTGAAAAATTTCTCATAATTGCATTATAGATTAATAATGTTAGTATAAACTATTTGAGAAATACTCCATCATCCCAAAGTAATGTATTAGAAAAATAATATTTTTTTTAAGTAGACTTCGAAAACTACTCCATTATTCTAACAATTTTTCTATAGAAAAAGTTCTAATCCAATAACTATTCAATGAATTCTTATTTAAAAAAAGTATTCTTCATTGTAGACTACGAAGCAGAAAAGACTACGAATGTGGATAATAAGAAAAGGCGAAATTTTACATCTAAGTAAAACTACTTCACTTTAGAATTTTTTTTTTTAAATATGTATGATTTAAAATTTTGAAAAAATCGTTATAATTGCAGGGTTTATAGTTGTCCTGTTTTCCTGATGAAAAATAAGGCTTTTTGTTCTGATAATCCTGCTTTCTAAGAATACGGATTTTAAAGTAATGGATTTGAGGAATCAGACGATCTGGATTTTTAATCAGAAGTCGTTTTATTTTAATAATGCTTAGTAATCAACAGTTCAGATCATATGTAGGGTGGGGAATTGTCGAATTTAATTTTTTTTTTGAAACAGATGATTTATTGGAAATTGGTTTCATGATAAAAAAAGAGCATCATATTTTCCGAAAGTCCATATATAGCTAGAAATATTTATAGATAGTTTAAAAAAAAATATTTGGGTGCCATATGTTAAAATTCCATTTATTCATATTATTTTTTTTGTAGAAATTAAAAAAAAATTAGATTCTCCAAAACACGCAGAAAAGTGCTTTAGATTGTGCAAAAATCTGTATAGTTAAGTAATAACACATATGTTTTAAAATTGGGGAAAAGTCCATGTTGCTTTTCTTTTTTAGGGTACAAGAACTTATTACACTTTCCGCACAAACTTGCTTAGTTTAATTAATGGAGTATGTTTATGAGTTAAAATCTCACGGGCATATTTCTAAAGTTTTGATTCACCAAATTCATTTAAATTAAAAGTATGAGCGTCATATTTGCAGTATATACCCATAGTAATATTTATGAACGAATTTTTTAAAACTTTTTTTATGTATTTAACGTAAAAGAGACAAATAGGCCAGTAGGTATATGCTTTTGTTGCAACTTTGCAAGAGTTAATGGTAATGGTGAGTATGGTTAATTGTACTTCAGCAGAGGGCATGGTACGAGCCTGACCTGAGGGTCACGTCACGTTTTTATTTAGTTCTAATTAATTTTTGGATGCATTTGGTGACATTCTCCCAATTGTTTTTGTCTATATATTATTTTATTGAGTTGCAAAGTAACGAATTCGTGTGAAAGATACTCTATACTCACACTGAAGCTTTTCTAACCAAAACGATTTTGTATGTTTTCTCTTCATAAAACTTTATTATATACTTCTTTTTTACAACAATCTTATGAAAACCAGGATAGATCCGCGTTTGCGTTGAGGATGCAAATTAATTGTTTCTATTGAACTTTTGAATACTATCCCTCGTATTCAGTTACTGAGCATTTTTCATTAATTTATTCTATATAAGCACTACCTACGACTTGAATTTGATTTTTAAAAAAATAATACTTTTCTCTTTCTTTCCCTTTTTTGGCAAAGCTTTTATTTTACCATGATTTGTATTTTATTTTCAATATCATGACTAATTTTTTCGAAATTTCAAATTTTACTTTGAATTTACATTTTGCATACAAGAATCAATAATCATCTTCTTATAACTCAATGGTATTCGGTATCTTTGCGTAGCTTTTCTTGCTTCTTAGCTTTCCTCAGAAGTCTCGATCTCAACTTCGGCAGCGTCTTCTGTCTTCTTCTTAGCAATAGACTCCCATTTCTCCAAATTAGACCTATTGATCGACAAACAATTTAATCATTGCTAAATTATTATCCCTTCAACAATATTTTATAGTTAAAATTGTATAATAATTATAGCATTGTATTATTCCAAATTTTAATTTTGCATTTATTGTACTTAAGGACATTTATTTAGCAGAGCTACGAATATCGTGATTGTAAATTACGATGCTATAGGAGAATTATGAACTATATACCGTTCATTTTGTGCTGTAATTAATCTTAATTAAAGAATGAAATAATTATGGTATTTGACTGATCGGTACGCTCCATAAACAGCTATAAAATTTAAAGTGAAAGTAGATGTTGACTTAAGGTCGGCTCTAAGGAGGGCACCGGGTAGCCCTCCCGATTTTTAGATATTAGAGTTTTAATGAGTAGTGTTAACGTGCACTAATTGATTTCTGTGCTTTTATTTGAGATATCGAGGTATGATAGGTGCCATTCTTATTTTTTTTTGTCAATGTATTTATTATTTTATGCTTGAATAGTTGAGAAAAAATGACATGTTCAGCGCCTAAGTTGGAGGAGGGTTCTTTTTACATTCCCGTAATTTTTCTTATCTATATTTTACAATGCGATCGATGAAATTTTTTTTCTTTGTCACAATTTTAAGCTTTAATGAGCCTGACGGTGTTGCTGAAAATTTTAAGGCACTAGTTTGACCTTGGGGGTCATGTCACATTTTTTACTTTGTATTTACTACTAATTATTATTTTCCAATGCGAATGGTGGCACTTTTCTAATTATTTTTGTTCGTATTTTATTTTACAGAGTCGCAAAGTCGATAATTCGTAAGATATAGTTAATTCAGAGCAATGCTTTTAAAGTCAATAGGGTCAGTATTCAATATAGAGCCGAGAAGGTGGAACAGCTGATCACCGTTGTTGCTATTACGAAATATGATACTCTAGGCTGACCTAGAAGTCTTTCTAAACAAAACGATTTTATATGCTTTCTCTTTATTATTTAACTTTATAAAATACTTCCTTTTTACAATTATCTTTATCTTGAAGGCACAGCTATTTCATCTATTATTATGAAGTTAAGACAACGAATTATTACGAAGGATTATTTTTACTGACAATAGCTAGGTTATTACATGACATCTTAGTTTAAAAAATCATTTATCATCAAGCAATTTCATTTTAATCATTATTATTTTATTATATTTTATCATCATTACCTACATCCGTTCAGCATGGGCTTAGATTCCGGAATTAAAGCATGTAAAAGCTCATAGCATGGAATGCAGATTCCTTTCAAAAATCCAACCTGTGAAATTAAATTTTGTTTAAAAATCTTTATCTCATTTAATTCAACGAAAAAAAGATGTAATTCAAAATGGTCACAAAACAAAACTGTCGTTTTTGATTTCGTGTATATCGCATAAAGCAATAAGCAAGTATGATTTGTTGTATTAATTTATACCTGGCTAACACTTTTAATGTACTCTTTTTGAATTATCATCATTTTGTTGATCAATGGTTGGGGGCGTCGTGAAATTAGAATTAAGGACTTGCAGAAAGAGTCTAGTACCGCCTGAGATATTCAGAATAGCTTGTCATTGGTGCGACATCAACCCAATACTCTAAATAAATGTTTAAGCACACTCACACTGGTAGTGACCCACACTCACTTTTACGCATGACTCTTACGCATTGAATAAAATAATAAATATTTATTTTTTTTGCATAGAATTTATTTTTGGATTAATTCCCGATATATGGCGAAATACGTGAAACATTAAAATGTCCAAACTCTAAACCGCCCTCTTGACCAAACTATTGGAGCTATATTTCCCTGATTCTGGCTACCCTTTATATTTTGTGGGTCAGAAATCCAAATCCGCCAAAAAGCAAGTATGTTTATTCAGAAAAAGTGTGTTTTTAAAATTAGAAAGAAAAAGTGCGTACTTTTAAAATTACAACTCCTCAACTAAGTAGAGGTATGTAGTTTCTTATGATCATTTTTATATTCGGCTATAGTACTTTTTAAACAGTACTTTTTTAACGTAAATCCAAATTGAATAAATCACATGTCCGAAGACTTTATGTTGCATTTTCATCTATGTTTTTTTTTCCTTCCCAATTTATTTTTTAAAAAAGAATAAATATTAAAAAATTGCAAATTAAAATTGCGATTTAAAAATTTGCAGGAAAAAGGATCCTGCATGGAATAAATAATGTTTACTTTGCTTAGATCAGGTGTCTTAACAATATTCCGGAGGTTTAAAAAATCATTCAGTGGAAATTAGGAGATCGAAATGGGAAACCAGTTATTTATTCCAATCAAATTACAAAATTCGTGACAAAGTTTGTCAAAAGATGGCGCTGTTAGTCGAGAAAAAGTATTTTTCAATGAGTTCAAAATTACTTACCACTGCAGCAACAACATGATAGAGTAGTTTGAGGACAAACTCAACAGACGCTTGGGCAAATAACCCAGTTGAATCGGTGTGACATTGCAGCAAAACATATTGTATAAATGTTTTTCTAATTTAGTGAAACCATTTACTGGCGAACTTCGTGTCTAATCTTTTTATTTGAAGAAATTGAAAACAATTGCTTTCCTAAACAGAACTCTTCATTTGAATGATTTTTCGAATTTTCAGTGTTTTTTCGAAGCCGGGGTACTTACTTTCAAATGCTTCAATAGTGGTTTTGAAATTCTAAAGTTTGATTTGACTCCCAATTATTAATATTTTAAATATTTTTTTTAACTTTCTATTTTGTTTATTTATTTTTTTATTTTACAATACCTGCGAATCGGGCTGTTCACCACTTTTGCTTCGGTCCATGATTGGAAGAGGCTGCATCCCTTGTGATTTTTCAACATCTCCCTGAAATCAGGACAGTTTTTCTTACGAAACAATTTAAAATGAATTCCATTAAAAGTTGTTATTTGTTTATAAACTGTAAAAATACGCATTTTTTATTTCTCATAAATTCAAGGTATTTTTTAAATATAAAGAAGAAAAAAAAAGTTTTGGAATACATTTATATTAACAAAAATATTTATTTCAGAATTCTGAAAATCGCAATTTCAAGTAAAATGAGGTTTTGAGAAATTGCGTGGAAATTATATTTCAGATGTCAAGCATGATTAGTAAGTAGAATAGTAATAAATTATTTGTTTAATTTGTTACATTTATGTTCTAATAATGTTTACTTACCTTACACATCACACTTACTTGATTATAAAACTCCTCAAAAATTACTTCAACAATTTGTTTTTGTTGATCCCAGCCCTTCGAACTTCCGCATAAGTCACACGCTGTCATTATCAAGGCTTCCAACAATAACCTAAACATTACACAAGCAACTTTTATGTGTTTTGTCTCAAAATTGGCTCAAATTATTTTTTAGGGTTTGATAGGGAAAACAAAATAATATTATAAACAGACATTTTAATTTGGGTAAAAGTTGTGTTGGAATTAGGACTATGAGAGTTAAACCCATTAATGCTTGGCCATAAAAAGTCTATTTATGAGAAATACCTAGATTAAAACAAAAATGGTTGTATTTATTTATGTTAGCTGCCATTTTGTTAAAAAAGGCATTGTGGTCCAAATACAAATAATTACGTAATTAATACATTATGGCATACATTACATATATGCCGTTACATTACATGCATTATACATATGCAGTTTAGAGAACGACTTCGTTTTATAAAAATGGAATCCAAAAAAAAATACTTTTGTACTACCACTTTTCCCCAGTTGTGACAGATCTATTGGTCCAGTATCACAAAATCGCTGGAAGCCAGCAACTAAGACAACGCGTAAGCGTACACTTTCCGTCACTTTCATCACTGGTACAAAAGTGAATGGTTGTCAGTATTATGGGAGGTCCATAATACTGACCCATAATACTCGCTGGCTCGTACTGTCTGCCATTGAACTCAGCAAGCCGTTATAAGCCCAGCATTTGCTGATTAAAAAGCACAGGGAAAACGATTGCCCAACACTTCTTGATATGTTGCCGATCATCGTGAAGGAATCAGCAATTGACGGCCTACAATCTGTACGTATTTATCAGCATCCCTCCAGCTTTGTTGAGGGTTACTAGAGGTCATTGACATATTTATAGGAGTAATTGATAACTCCAAATCTAATTATTTTTATCTAATCTTGTGAAAAATATTCATTTTGTTAATTAACAATAAATATCTATTTTATCTGGGTAATTAATATTTACTTAAATAATTTATTAATAAATGAACTAATAAGATGACAATTTTTTAAAAGTAAAAGTAATTTTTTTAAAATTATTTTTCACACCATTTGATTCGAATTCAACAATAATTCGANATTTTTTAAAAGTAAAAGTAATTTTTTAAAAAAATTATTTTTCACACCATTCAATCCTTCAGCCTAGAGGATGTGTCTATGCCCAGTCCAGGGATCTATGGAAACACCGAAAAGCTTGGTATTTATTACCGAAACACTTTGGTAATGATTTTGGCAAAATTAGCAATAAACTGTGGTTTTATAATATGTGATAAAATTTGATAAATGTGGTAAAATTTGGTAATTTTACCACGTTTATCAAATATCATTGCCATATGAACGGAAAAAGTACAATTGAATGACTCAAATACCGTATATTTTGGTTGGTTTTATTAGCCAGAATTATTTATTTATTTTTTTATAAAAATGTCAGCATCAAAAAGTACGGTAATTTTACTAGATTTTTTTTCGGTGTATAAAAAATATATAGTACCAGCAACTAAAAACTTGACAAGATCTTCATGTGTAAATTTTTTTTTATGTATCACTATAGGAAAATCAAGAATCAATGCTCGAAAATTTTCTGAGGATACTTGTAAAAATTTAAATTTTAAAAAATTATACATTAATCATGATCGTTTAAAATAATACATTGATCTTGATACTTCACCTGTGATCTTGCGAATCCCAATCAAATAGATTACTCTCAACAATTTGGCTGAGTTTTGCCTTATTTGGAAAAAATGATGACAAATCTGTTGCCAAGATGAAATTTTTGATATTGTACAGTACCTTGAAAAGAATGAATAAAAATAGAAATAATTAAATTTGGTGTAAATTTTATTTAAATTAATGCTTAAAAATAATTAAATAATCTCTCGCTTTGCTCTTGTGAATTTTTTAAAATCCAGTTAATTAATTTTAGACTTGCCTACATGGTATTTGCGTTTGCTTAAAATATACTGAAATAGTGCATAAGTTGTACTATGTATTATACTTTACCTCGTTTTGCGTGGAAAGGACAGTTGAGACCAAATATCGTAAAAATTTGGTATAACCTTGCAATGTTAATTTAATACATTTCACTATAAATGAATTATGAGACGTGGTGGTTCAGGGGATAGAGCGTTCGCCTTCCAATGAGGTGAACAGGGTTAGAATCCCAGCGATGGCCGGTCGATACGAATTCCGCACCCGGCTCGCACCGACCACAGTGCTGACGCAAAATATCCTCAGTGGTCGACACATTTTAGGTTTGAGGTCTCTTGCTGTTAGGCTAAATTTGGAATGTTTTCGTGATTTTCCTCTCCATCTAACGCGAATGCCGGTAAGTTGTATTAATAAGTCATAAAATGTCAATTGTCAATCAAATCATAAATGTCAATTGGGGGAAATTGGCCACAAAGGCCAATTTCCCCCAATACTAGATCTAGGAGTTCCCTTGTCTTTTGGATTGGGTTCGAAATTATGAGGCTGCGGAGTTGAACATTAGTAGTTGAAAACTCAAAATTGGGTCGGCTGTTCAATGACGGTTATAAAATATAACAAAATTAATAAAACTTAAAAGTATTCTTAAAATATTCTTAAAAATTTTTCAACATACTTACTTTCTTATATTCAGATGAAGTAAGATTACTTAAAATATTGTGCCCGTCTTGCTAGATTGAATAAAGAAAAAACAGTAATTAGAAGATTTATTAATTAGAAAACTATATAAGCATAGCAATTTTGTTTTTCAGTAATTATCACTGTTAATGTGTATTTTCAGAAGGCTTGTAAAATATGAAGGGAAAAAAACTACACAATAGATGTAGACATTTAAGCATGGAAAAAAAATAACTCTATTGAAATTTTGCTAATTACTATTGAGGAATGCGGGTGAAAAACATTAAAGCTTATTAAATTATTATTAGAAAATGAAAAGTGATAAGTGAAGCAATTCAATTGGTGATCAAATTGGTTCAAATAGATTTTGATATCTATACACTTGCTTTCCTTACTAGCAATTTCTTTAATTTCGATTAAAAAAAATTATTTTATTACTTAGTATTAATTTCCGATCATCAATCAGCATTTTTTTCGCTTCATTTTGATAGTTTTCTATAAATATATAGGTATTAAAGGCTGTTATAGTGGTATATCCAGTATATTTTAGTTTTATTAAAAAAAATATTTATCTATTTTATAGTTTTTCAGAAATGCGCAAAAAATACTACTTTTAATATTAATCATAAATTACTCGCGTAATCATTTTATTGAAATCATTTGAGCATAATTGCATTTTTGGCAGAAACTATTGAATATTATACTAGAAGGCATCCTGTTCATTCGGCTAAACAACGCCCATAAGTGCTTCGCATCCATCATTTTTCTTTTTCTTTCTTAAAAGTCCATATTTTCCCATAAAACACTTTGTTTATAAAATATATAAGTATTATACCATTATTGTAACAACGTTTTATAGCGAAATGAACAATTTTCTGGATTTGAAAAATATTCAACTTTATTTGAAAAAAAAATTTAAACTTAGGAACACATAATGTACGGCATAATAAGAAAAGATTAATAAAAATTAATTTTAGTCGTTAATCAATATAAAAGTTCAAATAGAAGTGTCATTTGCCTCTCTTGAATTAAGTTTTTAAAAAGAACTTTGATATCGAAGTTAAAATTTATATCTGGCAGCCTCTAATCTTTTTTGCTGTTGCTGTTGCTGTTACTTTTGATAGGTATTGAGCTTACAATAACTTTCAATACAGTAAAATTTCAACAAAAAAAATGCTAAGTTTATAAGTATAAGTGATCTTTTTAACACTAAGAATTTAACAGCTTGATATAAAATTAAATTTTTTTTCAATCCATTGTTCTCCCTGTTACTGCCCTAATAAGTTTTTTACACTCCATTGCTGTTTCAAGTTTTTAATTCTTATAGCTTTTGCGCAGCAAAACGAAACGTAAAACTAAGTTATTTAAAGTAAACAAAGTAAGAAAAACTTTGCGATAAAAGCACTTAAAATTGCAATGACTAACAAATTAAAATTTAAAAATAAAGAAACTCGTGTTACTCATAAATAAAAATGCCCTAGGTCAAGAAAAAAAAACTGCTTCTGACAAAAATATTTCTGCATTTTCGAATTTAGAATAGGACATATATTAATTTTCAGTAATAAAAAAAAGCCTTTTTTTTTGGGGGGGGGGTTGGAAATTCAAAAAAAGAACAGAGAAGATAAGGGGTTAATTTCTGAATTGACAATCGAAATATATTACCTGCAATATAGAGACGGTCATGTTAAAATGATGATGCTCCAGTACAGACGTCGAGTATATGGAAGCTAATGGGGAAGCGAAGCTAACAAGAAACTGGTTTGTCTTTCCTCTGTGATCTAGATCATGACAGAGGCAGGCGACGTATAGAGCTAGTTCCTAGAAAGGTAAAAATTATTTGATTTGGAATTGTTTCTTATTAGAGCAGGGATTACCGAAAAGTGGAGTAAAGCAGGTATAAAATTTTACTTTTTTACCTTCCACTTACTAACTGTAAACTGGGTATAACTAAATACTTCGTCGAACACGAACTGCGATAAAAATAACGACATTTTCCGTTATTGAAATTACTCGAGGTGTGATGATATTGCTTATATCTATGAAAAAAAGCCTCATTTTGAACTGAGTTGAAAAAAATTTTGTTCCTCTGTTAGCTCTTTGACGTTTTATTCGGCTTTTACTTACAGGATTGATACACTATTTTCGGAAGAAAAAAAATCAAATTATTAGACATTTTTTTTAATAATTTTAAATCGTTTGGGAGCACCCGGCATTTTATTAGTTTCGTTCTTTTTCACTTATATGTGAATTCAAGCAGTGTCAGTCATTTAATTTCCGGGTGCCCTTAAACTTTTCCCCACCCTTTGGTAAATCAATCAATATTATGAACCAAAAAAGAAAAAAAATGCATTTGGCTCTTACTTGCAGGATATTCCGATTTATATACGATTTTGGGTAAAAATAAAATAATTAGACTTTTTTTTAAATCAGTTTTTGGGAGCACCCGGTATCTCATAAAATTCATTCTTTTTCACTAATATATGTAAATTTAAGCTGTGTCCGGCACTCGTCGAAAAAAGGATTTAGTTTCCGGGTGCCCTTAAACCCATTCTTAGATGGTTCAGTTAATATTATGAACAGAAAAAAAAATGGAATGCACAGCAGTTGCATTTGAATTTCTTAAAATATTTAAATATAGAAATGTCATATTATCAAAATGAATTCCATGCAGGGGATAGCCGTGACTGATTTACTGGTCAGAACTGAATAATAAGAGCTAATAATTAAAATACTTATTTAATCATTGAATAATAAAAACTTTTTGTTTTAAGAAGCAAAATAGCATCATTTACCTCGAGAGGTTTGAAGGAAGAATTACTTTTAAGCAAAGCGTAAACTGAATTAGCTACACTAAAACCATGTGTCCAATTATGGTAAGGAACTCGGCGGTAGTTTTTACGGACAGTCAAAGCAAAACGCATGAGAGAGTCCTGGTCAATTTTTACGAACCTAGAAGTAAACCATTGATCAAATATTTAAAATATTTATGAAAGAGGAAGATGCATAAAATAAAATGTCTCTTTGAAATACAACCTACTTTTGTACATTTGGGAGATCTTGTAGCATAAATATAGCAGCCAAAACCTTTTCATCAGAACTCAAAAGCTCAGCGTTAAAGTCAAAACTAATGAAAAAATAAAAAAACTACTTTTTTAAATAAATTAACAACTAATATAAATTTTTAGATTGCAATGTTTCAAATATGAATTATTAGAGTAAAAACTGCTAAATTGCAATTTCGGTTCAGAACTTCTTGACAGAATTAATTCTGCCGATGACCATTTCGTTTTTATCCAATTATAGTTATAAACCAAGTTATTATAGTTATAATTATAGTCAATTATAGTTATAGTTTTTATCCAAATATATTGGAATAAAGACCAATAAATTCAAAATTTCTTTAGCGGCTTCTATACTTTGCAAATTTTTTTTTCTTTCATTTTTATGACACAAAGATAAACAGTTTTAGGTGTTCGTGAAGACGTTAGCGCTAACATTTAAAAAAGATTATAAAAATACATCATGTGTCAAGAGAATAATTAGTTAGTTACATAGTGTTTAAGTATTCATCTGTCATTTTATTTATTTATTTACTTTTTTTTTTCTCGAAATGTAGCAATGATAGTAGGCAGTATTCAACGCTTGGTGTTTGTTAATTTAATCTCTTTTTAATTTTTAACTTCTCTTCTGCAACAACTAGAAAATAGTTTTTGCAATGTCAAACAGGAACATTTCATAATTTTCTAAAATATTTATTAAATACTTTATTTGTGTTTATTTGTATATCTAAATACTTTATTTATACTTGTATGCTCATTTTGGTTCATCCAATCAAAGAACGCATTTTTAGTGGTTTTGGTTTATATTCGATTCTAATATAAACTTTACAAATTTGTCAATATTTTCAAATAAAAAAACAGGCAATTTTTTTTCTTTCTTTCTTTCTTTTTTTAATTATTAGTTTCAAGGTGCGATTTGAGCACATGAATGGATATGGATTAAATATCGAAGCCAACGCTAATAAGTTCGATTTGCTTTATCTTTAACTAATTTGATGTAACTAGTCTAATTATGAAGCCCAATAGTTGAGTGGTAACGCTTCGCGACAGGTTCAGGGTTCTATCCTGGGACCTCGACTCAACTTATCATCCATTCTATGGGTCGATGAAATAAGTACCAAACATGTTTGGGGGCTAAACCCTGGGAGTTCCGCTTTCGGTTGACCATCCACTCCGCTCCAGCACATCAGACCCTAGGGTCAAGAAAACTGGTGTGGGCACAGTAGGGTATAGTTTACTTTTTGTCCAATTATATCAATATAATTAAAGCATAATTTCCAGACATTCTGCGTATATCAAAAGAAGTGGCAAAAGTAGCACTTACTTTTTAAGCTGCTCCACATTTACGCTTAGTTTTATTTGTTTGAGTGCTTTCACTTCATCTTCACGGCATGTATTATGATAAGATAATATTTCCAGTGCAACTTTATGTTTTTGCTCAGACCTTCGAATTTTCTCATACAGCTAGAATAGTTTAAAACATTTAATTTTTATAGATAGTGATATCAAAGGTTTTCCGTAATCACCGATATTTAAGTGAGGAAAAAAGAAAAATATTATCTAAAATCTGGCAAATCACCATCGAGAAAGGAGGTATTAAAAATATCAGAACCAGTTTGTTTGCATGATAGAACTTGAAGGTGCTTCTAATGGTCACCATTCACATTCTCTCGGTTTTCTCCAGCAATAAAATATGTTTTAATGTTTCGAATCTGGTCTTCCTCGTTAATGATTCGTCAGTTTATATATATTCAAATATCAGTTTAATGGAGCTATCCATTACCAAAACGCATTACAAGATCGAAATTTACTATGTGTTTTGAAATGATTAATTTATCATCCAATATTGATTCAGAACAAACCATAGCAAATAAATATGTTGTTATCATGGAATAATTTGCATCGTATGTAATACGATAACTATATACTTAAGTTTAAAATTGACTTATTAACTACAGAATATAAAATTAATAGTAAATATAAGCTGTGATAAACAAGTGTTTTAGCTTAGTTTTTGCATTGATACAAAAAACAATATTGTTTATTTTATTTGGTTGTCTTTCAAACCACGTGAAAAAAACAGTCGCGCTTAAAGAAATCATTCGAGGCATTTACAAGCTTCTTGGTTCATTTATTAATCATTCCACTTTTTGGTTTACTATTTCAGCATTTAATTTAGTATTATACAACTACCCACTTATATTTAAATGGTGTTACCAATTAATAGAAAAACTAGTTTCAAAATAAATAAATAAAAACTCTGAATAACTTTTGTTCTAATGATTAGATTTTCACGTGCTCTGAAACTCGATCATTGCTTTCTATACTGAAAAGGGACTGAAACAGTGAGACACCCTATCATGTCATCTGTTTAATTTAGTACTAGAGAATTCAATTAGAGTCTGGTATACAAATTCAGAAAGCAATTGTTGTTAAATCCTTAAAACTACTAGCATTTACAGACGATATCGTGGGAAGAACAAGGGCAGCTACAGTAGAGGCTTTCTGTGCACTCGAGACAGAAGCAAAAAACATAGGATTGTCAGTCAATCATGAAAAAATTAAATTCATGGCAATAACAAATAGAATCACATTTCTGCAACATCTGAAAATTAATGAATATGAGTTTGAACAAGTAGCTCAGTTTAAATATTTAAACACAATAGTAAATAATAATAATAATGAGATAAAAATTGAAATCAAATCAATCAACAGGGTTAACAGATGCTATCATGGATTGAGAAACTAGTTGTGAAACAAGAATATAGTTATATAAAAACATATAGTATATAAAAGTATATAAATATAGTATAGTATATAGTATAGTATAGAATATAGTATATAAAAACATAAGTTGTGAAACAAGAATATAGTTGTACAAGATATTAAGGAGACCAATAGTTTTATATGGCAACGATTATTGGGCAATTAACAAAGCAGACGAGGAGAGACTGATGAGAGAAAAATATTAAGAAAAAATGTTTGTGCCTGAGAAAACGGAGACTGGAGAATTCGTTACAACCTTGAATTAACATCAAAATACAAGAAACCAAATGTTGTAAAAGTGATCAAGGTTTCTCAAATCAGCTAGCTAGGACATGTATTTCAATATAGCGTTGAAAATCCTGTTAAAAAAACAACCTTCCAAACAGCCAGAGAGAAAAATAAAGAGAGGAAGACCTGGAACAAGATGGTTAGATAGAGTACAGAAGTGGTTAAAGGATTTGGAAGTTAACAGATGGAGAAATATAGCATCGAATAGAGCTAGATGAGGTAAATTGACTGAGACGGCCTTGGCCGGTAACCGGCTGTAGTGCCTAAAACGAAGAAAAAGAAGTATGGCCTCAGAAGTTTGGCCAGGAGAGCGGACGAAGTTTGTACCCTTTAATGTTACCCAAATTGCTTCTACCTCCCATATTTTGATAGTCTGTAATCCAAATCCATCGGAAAAGTTTGTTCATTCAGAGAAAGCACGTTTTTGTATCTGATTTCGTAACTTAAAATACTGTCTTCACTAATTTATTAGCATATTTAAGGTCAGGCCCGCGAACAATTCAGATTGAGTCTTAGTGCGAGAAAATCAGATCATAAGAACAAAAGCTATTCACGTTGTTCCGTTTTTTTCCGGCACTGTACACAAAATGTAATAATCACAGACAGATTTTTTTCCTTCTAAATTTAGAATACATTACTCTTGCGTGGTGAAGAGCAAGTCCACAGTAGCCTGCAAATGTTGCAAACGCCTCTTCATCATCTTTTGTAAAAGCTCCATCAGATTTATTGACCATCTGAACCACCCCGATTACACTAAATTATAAAAATAGTATATTAGAAACTATACAAGAAAATTAGTCAGCATTGTTTATAATATTTAAGAATTCGATTGCGCGGAGCTGGAACTTCTAATGCTAGTTTGATAGAGTTTAAAATTGTTAAGATGTTTCATTTGAGATAATTTTAAAATTGGGGATAAATTGTTGTTGTTTTTATTTTTTTTCATTTCGATTTTTTTTAAAAATTTATTTTTATTGAATTTCTACACAGTTGACGACACATTTTCCCGTGACTGTATAGTTCGCGAAAAAAGAACAGCAAACATTAAATACCTTTTCAAGTAATGATCGGATCACGCACGAGAACTCAATCCTAATATTTCGAGAGCCTAACCTTAAATTTGTTATTGATTAGAGCAGATGATGTTTTCAGTTACGATATCAGACACAAAAACATTCTTTTTTTTCTTCCCCCCAATAGATTTGGATTTTTGACCTTCAAACTATGGGGGTAGCTACAATCAGTAAAAAATGGTACCCATAGTTTAGCAGGAAAGCTGTCGACAGTTTGAGCCATTTAATTCTAATTCTATAATTTATAATTAATTAATTAATAATTAAAAAATTCTAATTATTAAAATTCCATAAAAAAAATTCCATCTAAATTCTAAAAGTCTATTTTTGCGTACTTCCCCATACTAATTAAGCGTACAAAAAAGTTTTTGCACACAATTAGAAAAACGTTTTTATCCTAAGATAAAACAAAAGCCATTTTAAAAGTTGTTTTTTTGAATTATTTATTATTTTCCGTTATTTAATTTACTAAAGAAGGCATACAAACTGTCACGTTAATTTAATCTGAGTAATTTTAAATGAAAAAATTTAAATGAACTGGTTCAATAGTTTATGGAAAGTAAAAATTTAAAAATACGATTTCTTAGAGATGGCGAAATGTGCAAAAAGTGAAATTATCATTAAGTGGTCAAAACTTTCAATCGCTTTTCTGCCCAAACTATAGGAACCATATTATTTAGATTGCGACCCTCACCTCATATTTCAAGGCTCAGAAATTGAATTCCGTCAAAGGAAATGAATAAGATTAAATATGTTTTTGTGTCTAATTTCGCAACAGCACTACTAATTAATTATCACATCTAGGGCGAAATTCGTGTATTATGAATAAGATTAAGTCATGGTACGGTGAAAATCAGATCATTAGATGAATAGTTATTAAGGTATTCACTTTTTTAATTTTTATACACACCATGTAAAACATTCCCTGCCTTTGAGAAATGGGGCTGAAACTGCAAATAAATTAATTACCCATATACTCAAGTTTTTTAAGATTTCGTATTCACATTTTATCTATTTTTTATGATACTGATGTTACGTATTATATGGGATTTCAATTACTATCCATTCTATATATTTATAGAATCTTTGACAAAAAATTAACTTAGTAAATGTATAAAAAGTAAAATTTCAAATAAGGAAAAATAATCACATCGTCATTAAAATCTGACTAAATATTATCGATGTTATTCACAGTGAAGACAAGATTAAAAGCATTTTATTCGCAATTTTAATTATAAGATAAAATTGCTGACTGAAAGTGCAATTAATAAAAACTTCTTTTAGATTTCATCACAGATTCAAATTGGTAACTATGTTTTTGATCCTGCCTTCTCTGTGATTGATTTTTATAATAATTCATCAACTAATTTCTATATTGATTTCTATAATAATTCATTAACTAATTTCTATATTGATTTCTATAATGATTCATCAACTCTAAAAACTTTTGGATTTTTCTAACTGAAATATTGGCTTGAGATCCATATAGTGTATTTTACAATTATTTTATGACAAGGATTCTAAAAACCACGTTTTGAAGTTGGTAATTAACGCATGGAGATTGATATATCTGAAAATTAAATGAATGCGCAAAGTACAGAAAAGGAGAATGTTCCAAAAAAAGAAAAAAGACGGTATTTCCTTAAAGGTAGTAACACCAAATGTTCCAGTATAGGAAAACTCAGTACCTATATTTTTTATAATAACAATAACTAAGTGAGCTTTCACATTTTGAAAAACATACTAATTGGTCCTGTTATCGTAAACGAAAAAAAAATTTGATGCAAATAATTTTATTTAAAAATAAGACTAAAATTAAAAATTACAAAACATATTTTCGAATTTTTTTTTAAAAATTAATTACGATCTTATAGCTGTATTATAGTATTTACTTATTTAAAATTAAAAACATTTTGAGCTGAAAATTAATTGTGCAAAACCTAAAAGCTTATCATACCAATTCGTACAAAATTTCAGAATTTTTCTATATTTGATCATTAGTTGATAATTAAACATGGCATGAACAGCTAAATAATAATAATCCATTAAATAAATATTTGTCAGAATTAGAAACTAAAACATTTTTTCAATTAAAAAAATAATACAAAAAGTTAATTTCGTAAAAATATTTTTTTAATTAAATTTCGGTTTAATTCGATAAAATTCAACAATCTGACTTATTTCTACGATAACAGAGACTTAAAACGTAAAATGAGAAGAAAAAAAATTCTGGTATTGTACAGTTTACAATGGCATTTCTGGTGAAAAGCATAATTTTGGTTTAAAAAACCAAAACAAGTGGTATTTTAACCATTTATTTGGTAGTTTTTCTCTTCATTTGGTTATGGTTTAATAAAAGATGCCTAACTAAGAATGTAAATTTAAATAACTAAATGGCTTTTATACCATGCTCTAAGGTATCATGACCAAATTACCAAATTTCACCTCACCTGCCAAATTTTATCACACATTATAAAACCATATTTAATTTTACCAAAGCACTTCGGTAAAAATTATCGGGCTTTTTGGTGTTCCCATAAAGCCAGAAACACGGTAAATTTTACCATTTTCTGGTAGTTTTGACCATACTTTTTTTTCAGTGTACGAATAGATTTTTTTAAAATTATTGATGTCTTAATGAAAAATATTGAAATTCATTTACTTTCCTCTCGTGAATATTGGCATGCACAATAGGTTCTTTGTATTGTATCCTGTCCTCTGATCAACTGATCTAAAATTAACACAAAATAAAAATAATTAATTTTGTTTTATTTTCTGTAATTATTTTTTATTAATTTAAATCATAACACCATTAGTATCTATTAAGTGCCAACCATAGCTTGTCTCCAAAAAGTTTTTCATATTACAGGATTTTGACATTTTAGTTTTAGTAACAAACTTGTGTTTCATCAACTGATTAAATCACTATACCAACTCACACCACCTATACTATATATATAAAAAAAAACTGGATCTAGTTATGGTAAAAGTAGCACAGAAAATTGTTACCGTAAAATCACTGAATCACTTTAATTAAATAAATATCAGTGTAAAAATTACGGTATAATATTTTGCAGTAGAAACCAATTTTACGGTAGAATGGGTTTTATTGATCTGCAATTTTTTGTAGTGTACGAGGCAAGCTGGCTTAGTTAGTGCAATTTTGTAAAAATAAAATTTTAAATATTCTTTATCATTAATTTGTAGTCACATTACAGCAATAGTCTTATTTGGTGTCAATAATACAGAAAAAAAATTATGAACCAAAAGCAATGCCAACTTACCGTATTCGATCTTAATTATATTTTAATATATCTTAATTATATTTCTAACTGTTAAGTAATTGCGTTGAAAAGGTTTAAGGGGTAACTGAAGAAGAAAAAAAAATTGCCATAATAATTAAAATAAAAGAAATATGGCAAGTTTAAAACAAAAAAGTTTTATAGCACGTTTCAATGTTTTATCGAATATCGTCTTTAAGGAAATACAATTTAATCGAAAATCGTTTAAAAGATAAGCATCTTCCAATAAAGAACTAAGATATTTGTTACGAATTTCTGCCTGACCAGAAGAGGAAGTTGTAATCACTCACAATAATTCTGTAATCATTTATGTGACAGACAATGGATTGAACTGAATGGCTCATTGGCGAGCCCCTTTTCGTATCATATTATTTTATTGTTTTTATTATTAAATTTGTGATTTTAATAAATATGGTTTCTTTATTCAATGCACCCATTCGCCACTGAATCATTCTGTAACAATATTAAAGGAAGAAATAAATAAACAAGATAAAAAATTGAACAAAAAAGTAAATTTTTATTTTCTGCATTTTTGTTCTCCAAAGCATGGAGTTCTCCAAAGGTCCAGATAATTATTTAGTTTGCTTTGATTTTTGTTCCTTTTCTTCAAATAATTTTGATAAAATTTGTTTTGTTCGTCTTAATTTTTTGATTTGTGAAAATTATGACACATTTCTAAGAGACAAAGGAAAAATTTTCTGATTTTTCATATTCGATATAACTTTATATTTTTTTCTCTTTCTTTTTCATATGATTGTATTCTTTTCCATAATGTTTTTTAATATTTTAGATTTTACCTCAATAATACTTTTTGTTTAACAAAATCATGCTTTTCTTGAATTATAAAAGCACATGACCCAATAGTAAAAAAACCTAAGTATTTGGTGGGCATCAAATTCTTGAATTTGACAAATTTTCAGAATCCGGTACATCTCTATTTAAAACTATTTTGTCTCTCAGGAGGAAATGTTAAAAACACAAAGAGTTTGCTAAAAACTCAAAACTCTGTAACTTCAAATAGAAAACTTAACTCTCAAGTGCAAAGATACTTTTTAGACATAATAACATTCTAAATTAGATCACTCACTTTAATTTTAAAATTTTGTCAGGTGATTGTGGATTGTAGTTCTATGAGAATAACTCGCAATGTTTATTTAAGAAATTTATAGAGACGGTAATATAATTTCATCTTTTCATCATTACTAAATCATTTGCAACGGAAATCTTCTTGATTAATGTAATAAAAAATTTCTTCAATCTTACGAAAAAAAAAAAAAAACTTGGATTCCGAAGCAATTTACAATTACAATTATAGTAAAATGGAAATGGATGATGTTGATACTTAATGCAGTAATTTGATCCGGAATTATTTAAGTGTTATTAAAAGTTAGATTTACATTTACAAAAAGCATATTTTATTTCTGAATGCTCATTCATAGCTATAATAATTGATAACAAGAAATAATCACAAGTTTGAACGGTTAAAAATAAAATGAATAATATTTAATTTTACTAACCGGTTAAATCTCTTATCGTTATATGCATCTGAAATATTCAGAGACTCTCCCGTCATCGCTACATAACCAGCAATTCCTTTGCCTATGGGAAATCTATAAGACAATATTTAAAAATATCAAAAAACAATATAAAACTGATAAAAAAATTTATCACAAATGTTTCTTAAAGGGTTCAGTTTTTATCTCTCTTAAATTGCATCAGTGAGAAATTTCACTTAAAAAATGCCTTATCATAAATTTATCATATAGCTAATAACCTTGAATACGAGACTGCAAAAATATAACTAGCAGTTACTAAAACGAAACATTAATTAGTGCTATCAATAAGCAAAAAAAAATAAAAAAAATCTCTTAGCTTACAAAAGCTCAATAAAAAAATAATTATAATTTATGTTGTGCATAAAATCGATTAGCGTTAAAAAAGTTACCTCTAAAACAGACTTAATTTTTCATATTCATTGTACAATTAATACTATGTTTTAAACTGAATTTAGAAATCATGAAATCCAAGTTAAAACTGAGTCCTATACTGTCGTGCAATAGTGGAAAAAAAAATCAACATAAGCGGTAGAAAGTTCAAAATTGAGATTTTTATGTATCGCATTTTATTATGATAAGCTAAATACTGCGAGAAAAAAAAAATTTCTTTTCGAAAACTGATTTTTTTCCCTTCAATTTTCTATAATTCTATTTTTGTTTTGATAGTCTTAGCAATAGAAAGAAAATAGTTGTACAGTCGCTTTTCTCGAAATCGATCACACGTCAAAATAAGCGTTTTTGCATGATCGTCAGCGACAATGAATTTAATTAATTCTAATCCGTCCTTTTTAGTTTTAAATATTATTTAGTTTTTAGAAATGAAGGAATAACAAAATGTAATTTTAAATGAGTACACATTACACGCATATTCTGAGCCCAAGTCTGCGGATTCGATGCTCGGCCCAGACACCGGATTTTCGGGATGCAGAAAATCCTCAGCTGCCATGTCGTATGATTATGCGGCTTGTAAAAAATCCCTGGAGTGCCTTATTGGCTCTTGGCATTTCCGGCAAAATTAAATTCCTAGTGCACTTTAACATCCAAATAGAGTCTCGGTACTGCCATCTTGTGTGGCAAAAAATAGATGTCCGAATTAACATGACCAACGGTATCTCACCCATTGTGGTGGTCCTGAAAGAGTGAATACCACCTCTGGAGAGCGCACTAGGTCTGCTTATCGGCAAGAACGATTGTGCAGCTCATTGGAAATAAAACAAAAAATAAAAAACATTACACGCATAAATAAAGTATATTACTTTATTTGCTTTGGAATTTATCACGAACTTAGTAGCTTCCAAAATTACAAAACCTCCTGGAATTAATTAACTATGGCAAAAGTTTATCTTTTCATTTGAGGAATGCATATGATTTATAATGAGAGTATAAACTATAAAATTATATAATGTTTAGTGTTTTGAGTGTTTCAAAAATTTAATTCTGAAAAATCAATTAAAAAAAATATCAAAAATGCCCTATTTTTTTCGTTTTTGCTGAGTGTTAAAAAAGTGTTGTGTGCTAGAAAATTATTAAAAACCTTGATAAGTGAATGAAGAACAAATTTATCAAAATTAAAGCAATCTACTTTAATAATAATAATAAATGAAAATGAATCCCATGAAAAGAAATTACGTGCTAATTTATTTATCTGATATGTGATAAGCTTCCTTTAATCGCCTCAATTAGGAAACCTGATGAACAACGAGGCTATCGAGATGCAAGACAAATGGAAACATTGCAAGGGCTTAAGACATTTTTTAAAAAAGTATTTAAATTGCTTACATAATTCGAATAATTTTGAGCAATTTTTAATTTTTTGTTTAGTCTTCTTATAAATTGGAATTCGGTCAAACGTGGACCAAGTTTAAAGGAGAGGAGTTATTGTTACCTTATTTCTTCAGGATTTAAATCACTGTCTGGCATTGTAGAAACTTCGTCAAAATCATTTTGAGAGCTACTGACATCGAATATTCTGGCGTACAGCTCGTGAGACTTTCCATCCACCAAAAATAGGGAGGCTCTATCTGCACTCACGAGTTTACGAGCGAACATCTAAAATTTATTTAGAAGAGAAATATGATATTTGAAATCATTAAAAGTTCTTAAGAACAACGATTTTAATAACAAAGATTAAAAAAATGTATTAAGCACAAATAAAGAAGAAGCAGCAGAAAAAGAAGAAGAAACAGAAATGGATGAAGAAGAAGCGGAAGAAGAAACAGAAATGGATGAAGAAAAGGCAGGAGAAGAAGAACCAGAAAATAAGTAGAAGCAGTAGAAGACGAAGCAGAAGAAGAAGTAGCGGAAGTAGAAGAATCAGAAGAAGAAGAAACAATAGCACCAGAAGTAGAAGAAGTAAGAGGGGGGAAAAACAGAAGGCCGTTTTACAATATTGCAATAGCTAACTTTTTCTATTTACGCTTTTTTTGATATTTTTCTTACTTTATTATTACTTCAGCAAAAAGACAATCCCATTTAATTTTAATAAATAGCTTATTTAAACATTGCAATAGATGGGAAACGCAGGAAAACGGTGTTATCCGCAAGTTTTTCATATGATCAAATAGCTAATTTTAACGTCAAATAGCTCATTTCATAAATAAAATCAAATAGCACATTGATACTTTTAACTATATATATTTTGATAAATGAAATTTTTTTAAATTATTTTTTACGAATAGAGGCAAAAATTCTTACTGTCTAAATTAATGATATAATACGTTTTATTGTTAAACCTCCCAATTTTCATTATTATATACTATTGTAATTTTTTCTATATATGCTTATTCATACTATATTCATACTATTCTTATCGTATAAATGAATCATGTAATGTCTTATTATGTCCTGATTTTCATAATTCAAACCATAGTAATAAGAATATAACGACAAAATAGTACTTTCATAGAACCATAAAAGCACTCCGATACAGTAAAATTGGCCAATACTACCCCCCCCCCCCNCCCCCCCCCCCCGTTTTATCCAGACATTTAAAATATTTACCCAAAGTACGATGTTAGCATAAGTATAAGATATTAACATGGGAATAGATATTAACTCAAAGCACATAGAATGTTGTTCAAAACGTTATGTCAGTTGGTACTACGATAAAAGTCCCCTGTAACTCCGTAATTTCTTTTTTGAGCAGAATTGCTCACAGTTTACACTATTAGAAATTTTGATTTTTGGTTGAATTACAGTATCGTGCAATTATGCCACTATCTTATAATCCTAAGTTGTACTATTTTATGTATAAATGAAACCATCTTGGGTTTCACACATACTATGGCTCAATTTGAACGGGAAAATGGTTCAATTTAACTTTTTTTTTTTAATGTCTCGGGAAGCTGACTCAATATTTCGGTGCCGATTTTTCTGAGAAACGTACATTTGAAATTATGATGAATGATAGCTGATAATAATGATAGCTGATATATGGTAGATGATCGTATGGCTTGAAATCAAAGCTTTACGTTACAATTCAAAGCGAAAGGACAAAAATAAATTTAGTTAGATTACAATACTTTGTTCAGCAGCAGTTAAATTTTTGCTCGTATCACAAATCTAACAGCAAATTAAGCAATTATTAAAAAAAGAAAAAGAAAAACCATTGTAGTTTTTTTTTTTTTGAAAAATTGAATTGCTTAAAAAAGTTGGAATTTTTTTTTTCGTCTTATAACATTTTAACGACGTCTTCATTTTTACTTTAACTACGTAACTTTTTAACATCATTAGCACTATTACCATTTTAGATTCAAATAAAATACTTTATAACTAAACGTTCTTTTACCCCTTTCCTCTCGCTCCTGTCAAAACCACGGAGTGAACTTTCATGTCTTATTTCTCGTGCCCGTAATATTTCCGGGCTGGAGCGCTCAAAAGTAATGCATCAAAAAGGTTTGAGTATATCCAACTCTTGTTCTCGGAATTTTTTCATCTCTTATTTTACACACTAGATGGCTGCACAAGACTATTTTTAATGTAACTGGAGATAGTTTATTTTAAACTCGATGTCAGCACTATCTAAATATATGTATTTGTGACATGTATATCGTAATCTTAGCTCAGCTAATTATGCTCTTTGTGAATACTCGTGGCTCTTGCTTTATGATAAAATATTTTTTAATATTGTGTGCATTAGGGAGTCAGAGTTACATGGACATATAGAGTGCATATGGAGTTTTAAATTTCAACCTAAAAAAATTCCAAAAATCAAAAATGAATACATCTACTGTACATATGCCTTTTTTATGTATATTTTTTGAATAAAAAAATAGGCACTTTTATGACCGTTTTTTTTTAAATTAACCGATTGTTAAGGGGTTAAATATCTTATTATAATATATTTCTATTATTTTAAAAAAGTTTTTTTAAAGTTATTTTTTAAAGAATTATGTACTCGGACAACTTTCATACAGGGATTCCTACAATTATTAGTGAACACTTTGTGTAATTCTATTAGTTAAAAGTTTTTACAAAATGTCTATTTGATCTAATAATGATTAATGAAAAATATTTACAAGCAAAACTACAGACGTAATTCTCTTTTCACAAGTAAGCGTATTCTGAAGTGTTGCAGGCTTGAAGAAATTTTCAAGGACTGTACNTTGATACTTAATGCAGTAATTTGATCCGGAATTATTTAAGTGTTATTAAAAGTTAGATTTATATTTACAAAAAGTGTATTTTATTTCTGAATGCTATAATAATAATAGCTATAATAATTGATTTAAAAATAATCACAAGTTTGAGCGGTTAAAAATAAAATTTATAATATTTAATTTTACCAACCGGTTAAACCTCTTATCGTTATATGCATCTGAAATATTCAGAGACTCTCCTGTCATCGCTACATAACCAGCAATTCCTTTGCCAATGGGAAATCTATAAGACAATATTTAAAAATATCAAAAAACAATATAAAACTGATTTAAAAAATGTATGACAAATGTTTCTTAAAGGGTATAGTTTTTATCTCTCTTAAATTTCATCAGTGAGAAACGGTTTTCAATTGAAATTTCACTTAAAAAATGCCTCATCATTTATTTGTCATTTAACTAACAACCTTGAATACGAGTAGATAGACTGCAAAAATATAACTCACAGTTATTAAAACGAAACATTAATTATTGTTATTAATAATAAGAAGAAAATGATTGCTTAGTTTACAAAAGCTCATTAACAAAAACAATTATAATTTATGTTGTGCATAAAATCAATTAGTGTTAATAAAGTTACCTCTAAAACAGACTAAATTTTTCATATTCATTGTACGATTAATGCTATGTTTTAAATTGAATTTAGAAATCATGAAACCCAAGTTAAAACTGAGTCCTAAACCGTCGTGCAATAGTAAAAAAAAAAAAAAACAATATAAGCTGCACAAAAAATTTAAAATTGAGATTTTAATGTATCGCATTTTATTATAAGCTAAATATTGCGAAAAAAAATTTTATTTTCGAAAACCGATTTTTCTTCTTCAATTTTCTATAATTCTATTTTAGTTTTGATAACCTTAGCAATAGAAAGAAAATAGTTGCACAGTCGCTTTTCTCGAAATCGATCACACGTCCAAATAAGCGTTTTCGCATGATCGTCAGCGACAATGAATTTAATTAATTCTAATCCGTCCTTTTTAGTTTTAAATATTATTTAGTTTTTAGAAATGAAGAAATAATTAAATGTAATTTGAAATAAGTACACATTACACACATAAATAAAGTATCTTACTTTATTAGCTTTGGAATTTATCATAAACTAGGTAGCTTCCAAAATTACAAAACATTCTGAAATTAATTAAATATGGCAAAAGTTTACCTTTTCATTTGAGGAATGTATATGATTTATAATGCGAGTATAAACTATAAAATTATGTAATGTTTCTAGTGATTTGAGTATTTCAAAAATTTAATTCTGAAAAATCAATAAAAAAATTATCGAAAATGCGCTATTTTTTCGTTTTTGCTGAGTGTTAGAAAAGTGCTGAGTGATAGAAAATTATTAAAAACCTTGATAAGTGAATAAAAAACAAATTTATCAAAATTAAAGCAATCTACTTTTATAATAATAATAATAAAAAATGAAAATAAATCACACGAAAAGAAATCACGTGCTAATTTATTTATCTCATACTTGATAAGCTTTCTTTAATCGCCTCAATTAGGAAACCTAATGAACAACGGGGCTATCGAGATGCAAGACAAATGGAAACATTGCAAGGGCTTAAGAAATTTTTTTAAAAAGTATTTAAGTTGCTTACATAACTCGAATAATTCTGCGCAATTTCTACTTTTTTGTTTAGTCTTCTTATAAATTGGAATTCGGTCAAACGTAGACCAAGTTTAAAGGAAAGGAGTTTACGGAGTTATTGTTACCTTATTTCTTCAGGATTTAAATCAATGTCTGGCATTGTAGAAACTTCGTCAAAATCATTTTGAGAGCTACTGACATCGAATATTCTGGCGTACAGTTCATGAGACTTTCCATCCACCAAAAATAGGGAAGCTCTATCTGCACTCACGAGTTTACGAGCAAACATCTAAAATTTATTTAGAAGAGAAATTTGATATTTGAAATCATTTGAGTCGCTCAGAAGCCAATGCGGTTAAGTCCAAAACACAAAAATTGAGAAAATTAATGTTTTTTGATACATTAGTTTTTAAAATTCTTGGTTTATTATTTTAATTAGAAAAGTGTATAAAGTCTTTTTTCGAGGTGTAAACTCTGCAAAAAAACGAGATTTGTACAGGATGTGTAAATAAAAACGTAAGTATTTATTGAAATAATGACAGCATCTTAAAACTTTTAGGACTTATACCTTTTGGCAGCTGAAAACGATAAGAAATTTATGTAAAAAAATATTGATGAAAGGTGGACTCATTCACAATGGCTTCTGAAATTATTATACAATATATTCAGAAGCTATTAAAAAAAGGGCTGTCTAACCTAGAAAAAAGTAACCAACGAGTAAATCCTTTAATAACTAAGAAGATTATTATTTATTTCATCAAAATTTCCAAAAATCAGAAAATATCAAAAAATGGACTTAACCGCATTGGCTTCTGAGCGGCTCATTTATATGTGAAGATTTTTTTTTAAAAACTGCACGATTTTAAAAGTTCTTAAGAATAAAGATTTTAATAACAAAGTTTAAAAAAAATGTATTAAGCACAAATAAAGAAGAAGAAGAAGAAAAAGAAACAGAAATGAATGAAGAAGAGGCGGAAGAAGAAGAACCAGAAAATAAGTAGAAGCAATAGAAGACGAAGCAGGAGCAATAGAAGACGAAGCAGAAGTAGAAGAATCAGAAGAAGAAACCATGGCACCAGAAGTAGAAGAAGTAATAGGGAAATTTATAATTAAAAAAAATATATAAAAAAAAAACAAAAAAAAAAAAAACAGAAGGCTATTTTACAATATCGCAAGAGCTAACTTTTTCGATTTATGCTTTATACGCTTTTTATGATATTTTTCTTACTTTATTATTACTTCAGAAAAAAGACAATCCCACTTAATTTGAATTAATAGCTTGTTTAAACGCTGCAATCGATGGGAAACGCAGGAAAACGGTGTTATCCTTATATGTTTTTCTTATGATCAAATAGCTAATTTTAACGTCATATAGCTTATTTCATAAATAAAATCAACTAGCACATTGATACTTTTAATTATATATATATTCTGATAAATGTAAAAGTATTTTTTTATTATTATTATTATTATTATTTTTTATTTATTTTTTACGAACAGCTGCAAAAATTCTTACTGTCTAAATTAATGATATAATACGTTTTATTGTTAAACCTCCTTATTTTCATAATATATACTATTGTAACTTCTTCTATATATACTTATTCATACTATACTTATTCATACTATTCTTATCGTGTAAATGAATCATGTGATGTCTTATTATGTCATGATTTTCATAATTCATACCCGCAGTAATAAGAATATAGCGACAAAATAATACTTTCATAGAACCATAAAAGCACTCCGATACAGTAAAATTAGCCACTACTACCCCCCCCCCTCGGTTTTATTCAGACATTTAAGATATTTACCCAAAGTACGATGTTAACATAAGTATAAGATATTAACATGGGAATAGATATTAACTCAAAGCGCATAGAATGTTGTTCAAAACGTTATGTCAGTTGGTACAACGATAAAAGTCCCCTGGAACTCCGTAATTTCTTTTTTGAGCAGAATTGCTCACAGTTTACACCATTAGAAATTTTGATTTTTCGTTGAATTACAGTATGGTGCAATTATGACACTATCTTATTATCCTAAGTTGTACTATTTTATGCATAAATGAAAACATCTTGGGTTTCATTACACATACTATGGCTCAATTTGAAGGGGGAAATGATTTAATTTAACTTTATTTAAGGACTCAGAAATCTGACTCAATATTTCGGTGCTGATTTTTCTGAGAAACGTACATTTGAAATTATGATGAATGATAGCTGATAATAATGATAGCTGATACATGGTAAATGATCGAATGGCTTGAAATCAAAGCTTCACGTTACAATTCAAAGCGGAAGTACAAAAATAAATTTAGTTCGATTACAATACTTTGTTCAGCAGCAGTTCAATTTTTGCTTGTATCTCAAATCTAACAGCAAATTAAGCAATTATTAAAAAAAAAAAAAAAAAAAAAAAAAAAAAAAAAAAAACCATTGTAGTTTTTTTTTTGAAAAATTGAATTGCTTAAAAAAGTTTGAATTTTTTTTTTCGTCTTATAACATTTTAACGACGTCTTCATTTTTACTTTAACTACGTAACTTTTTAACATCATTAGCACTATTACCATTTTAGATTCAAATAAAATACTTTATAACTAAACGTTCTTTTACCCCTTTCCTCTCGCTCCTGTCAAAACCACGGAGTGAACTTTCATGTCTTATTTCTCGTGCCCGTAATATTTCCGGGCTGGAGCGCTCAAAAGTAATGCATCAAAAAGGTTTGAGTATATCCAACTCTTGTTCTCGGAATTTTTTTCATTTCTTATTTTACACACTAGATGGCTGCACAAAACTATTTTTAATGTAACTGGAGATAGTTTATTTTAAACTTGATGTCAGTACTATCTAAATATATGTATTTGTGACACGTATATCGTAATCTTAGCTCAGCTAATTATGCTCTTTGTGAATACTCGTGGCTCTTGCTTTATGATAAAATATTTTTTAATATTGTGTGCATTAGGGAGTCAGAGTTACATGGACATATAGAGTGCATATGGAGTTTTAAATTTCAACCTAAAAAAATTCCAAAAATCAAAAATGAATACATCTACTGTACATACGCCTTTTTTATGTATATTTTTTGAATAAAAAAATAGGCACTTTTATGACCGTTTTTTTTTAAATAATAAGAACGTTAGAGGGTTAGACTAATTCTTTGTTATCACCATTTAAAAATTATGTATCTGAAACATTTCTTACCATAATTTTAAGTATTACTGTATCCATGCTGACCATATCTTGAAATATCGTTCTAAGAAAAAAAATGAAATATTTATTCTAAATTCTTAAATGTGTTTAAAACAAAGAAAAACAGCTACAGCAAAAATTGAAGGACTACTTACTTTACAATGGTTAACAAGAACATATTTAACTCTCTTTGTTTTCGCATGTGAACGTATAGCTAAAAACACAATGTAACTTAATATCCACACAGGAGATAGTCAAAATTTAGTGCAAATAAGTAAACATAAAATTACCTCAGCATAATGTAAAGCAATGCCACCCCATACCAAATAGCTATTAACAATCTGTAAGAATATATATTCAAAAATATTTTATTTACAAGGTTTAAACATTGGTAATGAACATTAAATCGCGTGTATTTCACCAACGCCATTTCAATAACAAACTGCTTAAAACACTTAAGTTAAAAATGTATCTTAGGTTGTATTTTTAGTTATTTTTCCGTACGAAATAAACGTAATTAATTTATAACAGTGATTGGGGGAAAAAACTTAATGATCCGTAATTATGTCTTTGCTAGTTTTCAAATATTTTCTATTAGTTTCGAATGGATTTCCAAAGGTGAAAAGTCATTTTTTAGCAATAAAAAAGCCTATAATAACCTAAACTATCATCAATTTATGCTCTTTTTAGTTTTCATATATTTTCTAATTACCACTAATGAGTTTCCATTGGTAAAAAGGGTTTGAGTTTACACTCAACTATTAACACTTAAAAACGTTTAACTAAACACTTAAAAAAACACAAATTCAATAAATTAGAGAGTATGGCTCTCGACAAAATAAATCGTTAAAATCACAATAAGGAATTCATTCTAATAAAGTGCAATATTGACTTCATCTTAAAAGGGGAGTTTATTTTTTATGTTGAAATTAATATCATTTTCCAAAATAATGTGACAGAGAAACTGTTTTTCCTCGTNACGTATTTCGGTCATTCACAGTAACATGCACATCATTTACATAATAACCTCATCAGGACGATTATTTCATACTTTGCCTAAATAGCATCCGGCATTTCAAAAAATGAAAATAATTGGTTTTGTTGGCGATGATCTCGTAAGGCGATAAAGAATCATGCATAGTACAGGTAAGGAAGATATTAACCTCGAAGGAAAAGTGGATGAATAACCCCAAGGAACCGCATCATTCAACTAAGTACTTATACTGCTTCTTGAACGATTTACTTGGTTCCGAATGATGCATGCAAGTAAAAATAAAATGCATAAAAATTTATAAGCCATTGAAAATAAGACGTATATTATGATTTTGCATGAATGGTTGCAAATTAACGATTTTTTACTTCTATACAAAGTCGTAAGTTTGTTGTTTAAACGAGTTTAATTTTTTAAATTATATTAATAATTAAGATTTTATAAAATGCATCGGAATACGGAAAACAGCGTTGTAGAAAGAATTATAGATAAAATTATACATTATTTTTAAAGGAAAAAAAGAACAGTTGCCGTGGAAATTGCTTGTCATGAGCACAGCAAGCTACCAGTTAGGAATGCATTAACAGTAAGTTGTAGCTTAGTATCATTGACAGAGCAAAAAATAATTATGTTTGCTGAAATTTTACCTCGGAATTTTAAAATAACTAATCATCACGATACAATTATGATACAATCTCACCTTTACTAAATCGAAATTGCTCTAAGGTTTGATCCACGTCCTTTTAGCGTAGTATAAGTACTTAATTGAACGATGCATGCAAGTGTAAGTAAAATACATATAAGTTTATAAGCCATTGAAAAATAAGGTATATAAGTATTACCCCAAGCCACACCCTTTAAATATATGATTAATTCGTCCCATTTTTGTTTTGTTTTGAAAACAAAAAGAAAAGATTGTTTTTTCGTATGAAAAGCAGGCAGATTTTTTGAAATATAAATGCTTACCTGTTCTGCTGTATTCAGACGAATTGCTTTTTTATTCTTTGCTGCATACAGTGCTAGGGATTCTTCTGGTATGAAATTATTTCTAAAATAACAATAAATATTTTTCAGAAAAAAACCAACCAAAATCCAAAAAAGACAAAATCAAAAGAGTTATACTCACGAATTATTTTCTTCATTTTTATATTCACAAAGTTCCTATGAAATATACATAAAAAAAAACTGTTTTCATAACCCATGATGCTCACACGAAATATATTTTGACGTCAACAAAATTTTAATAACTAAGTTACAGCGTAATAAGTCAGAAATATAATAGCAATAGCAACATCTTTCATCATTATAAATTAAGGCAAAATAAGTTTTGTACTAAAAAGATTAATTAATAGAGAAAAGATACAAACTCATCTAGAAAAATCATAAAAAATAGCTTTATTATTAATGACGCCAATGATGCTTAATTAATTTTAATAATTGGTGCAACTGCTATTGTTAATTCGTATTCTTAATACGTGCTAAATATACTAATATTGGTACCATGATACTTACTATGGACACTGTGCAAATTATATTTTACGGCCCACCAAAAGTGATAAGTAACGGAGAAGCTTGTTTGTTATGGAAATATTTGACTATAGTTTGTCTAAGCTAAGAACTCCTCCCACCACAAAGTCTGAGGCCGTCTGGTGCTATGGAAACAAAAATGGCTCATTTTAGGAAAGGTAGCTTCACTCTAGGACTAACACAATAGACTGAAGAAAGAGATTCCTTTTCTCTCGCCGACTCGACGCGAAACCACTCAGAAACAGTGACCCCGCTCTCCTACTTGAAATAGTCATACCTCGTTACCATAGTCATCGCCACAGTCCAGACGAATGTCTGTGGGAGTTCTTATCTTAGACAAACTATATCAGGACTTGGCCTAGAAAAATAACATTATGCTAAATGATACTGAAAATAATTAACTTTTATTTTGATAAGACGAACATACATGTTTTGATTAATCTCGTGGCAATCTCGACAAAATACATGTTTCGATTAATCTCGTGGCAATCTCGACAAAATACATGTTTCCATTAATCTCGTGGCAATCTCGACAAAATACATGTTTCGATTAATCTCGTGGCAATAAAGCCACTGGTAATTGGAATTGTTCGAGCTTAAATAAGAGTGGCAGTGTATATCTTTCAGTTTTGTGCAAGATTTCGAAGTGTTCATTAACGCCGATTTATTGATTATTTGCTTTTTTTTTTTACCCCTTACGAAGAGCGGGTGTTTAGCTATTCATTGTATTAAATAGTCAAATCGTCGAGTGTAAAGTATGAGTCAAAACACCAGTTGCAGTCTCGAATTATTTTGGTTATTTAAATGGTAGACCTAAGATTAAAATTCTTCTCAATCAATGATTTAGAAAAGATTTATTTCCTCTTCTCACGCAAAGTTATTTTGTTATACTTTCTTTAGTTCCTCCACAATAACTAGTTGCATACATTGACTTTAAATGAAGTAAATCGAGATAAATGGTTCACAAAGTTTAATCGACCGAAACCCATAATCGAAACCAAATATTGTGCCACTCTTCGTAATATACATAATATAATTATTGACGTGGACATGTATTTTAAGTGTAAATTGTATTTTTTTAATGAGTAGATAAAATAACAAAGTGCGTTGTTTTTATGAGACAGAAATATTTCATATACTCAATCTATATTATGTTATATAGGATTTTTTTAAAGACATCTTTTACGAGATATTTACGAGAGTTTTTCGTAAATATTGGGCACATTCAAAATCTTACGTAATCATTGTCAGTAATATATGCAATTTTTAGAGCTAATTGTGCTTATGAACTATTTACTTATCTTTAACATATGTTCTCTTGAACTCTTCTCTTGAACTGTTTTCTTGAACTTGATATCTTGAACTTGGCTTTCGATTTCAATAATTCGTACACTTTTTGTAAATTTCACTATTTTCGATAGTTTAACTTTCAAACATATTCAATTATCTTCAATATATTCAATTTAAAAATATATTCAAGTTTTTAACTAAATTTAAAAGCACTTTTCTTTCATTTACGACGATAATCATAAAGTACTTATTTTTTTATATAATATTCTGATTTTGAGCAGTTTGAAACTAATGTATGTAAGTTTAAACAATTTTGGTGAATTTCTTTAGTTTATATAGTAATTCTTGTAGTAAATGGTGTAAAGATTCTGTTAAGAGTTCTGTTGTTCTGTTCAGTTAAATTTAAAAAACAAATTAAATTTCCCACTTATTTCGCGACAATTAATTTCCTAATTAAATATACAAAATTACCAATGGCTGTTAAAAAGTAGTGATGCTAAGTAGTGTATAAAAGTTACTCACCAGGGAATCACAGTTGTAAAGGTATAACCATAACCCACTAGCGTTGGCTGCAGAAGCAACAGTCCTCGCGATTCCTGATAACACATCCCGTTTGTTTGGATATGTTGTTATAGTGGAAGTTAGCTCTTGGAGCATATCTTTCTTGTCCGCCATGACAAAAAACTAGGTAAAAAAATACACAGAAAAAAGACATGTATAGGTTTTTACTATGCTTCTATATAGATATATTATTTAGAGTTCATTTCGTATTTTTCAGAAAAATCTTTACGTTCCCATTAAATTAAATTAAGCGCTTTCTTAAAAACATTTAAAATTAGCTCTAGTATGTTATTGTTGTTGTTTACAATGACACTTGGACAAGTCAAGCTCGCCAGACATTAGCCACTTGCGAAATAAGGCAGGAAAGAGCGTCTTTCGTTTGACAATAAGGGAGCTCCGCATGGGTGAAAGTACGTCTTAGCTCAGAAACCCACGGATAGATGGCAGCAGGAAAATTTTCTCCATACCGTTAAGCCCATGGTACTGCTCATCGACCGACCACACGGCTTTCGATTCTACAGATTTTACGAACACGTATATCGCATATAATCTGTGGATCTTGGCGAAGTTGAGGCAGGGGCGGATCTACATAAGGGCTTTTTAGGCTGCAGGCCAGGGCCCCGTGGAAACAAAGGGCCCCAGTCCCCACTGAAATCAATAGGTGATATTTTGAATTAAAAAAATTATCTAATATCAAAAAAAAAAATAATATTATAAGGTTGGCAACCCTGAGATCAATCAACCCATGCATGTGCGCGTCTATCGAACGGAACGGGGAATTACCCGTCGCTTGTTTTTGGTCAGTGTATTTTTTCGCGTCTATTACGGGGGACTTCCGCAG